ATGAGACATATCACCTCATACGCCCACCAACACAGACAGGAACCATGTCTTCTCTCTAACGATGGCCTATACCTCCTCAAACTGTGAGGCAAACTGTGCTTCCCTAATATTCACAAAGCCCTAAAGTCCCATCCCCAACACTACATTAACCAGAAGTGATGATACATTCCTGGAATCCCAGCACTTGGGAGAAAATAGAGAAAAAAAATCAGAAGTTCAAGGTTATCCTTTGTTACATATCCTTGGTTACAGGTCTCTGTCTCAATTTAAAAAACAAATAATCCAACACTCCTTACTTAAGCTGTTACAGTGGGGTATTAATTATGTCAAAGAGATGATAAAAAGTAACTAATATAAAGAAATAAGAGTAGAATTAGATTTCTCTAAGCCACTGATTATTTTATTTTTAATTACATGTCTGGGTGTACATATGTACAGGAGTGCAGGTCAGAGGCATTGGATAACCTAAAGCTGGAGTTACACCTGGCTGTGAGCTGCCTGATATGGGTGCTGAGAACCAGCTCAGGTTCTTGGTAAGAGTAATACACATTTTTTTTTTTTTGAAACAGGGTCCTGGATGTCCTAGAACTCACTGTGTAGACCAGGCTAACCTCAACTCATATAGCTCTGCCTGCCTCTGCCTCCTACGTGTTGGGATGAAGGGTATGTGTCCAGCCTGAAGTATATATTCTTAACTGCTGAGACACCATTATTCAATTAAAGTCAATGACTCCTAACAGAGACAACTCTACCCCTGCCCTCCTACCAAGGAATATTTGGTAATATCTGGAGGAAATTTTAGTGTCATAATTGAAGATGGGACTAATGGCATCTAGCACCTCACACATGACAAAAAATAAATAAGAAAAGTAAGAAATTAAAAATCATCTAGCCCAAAATGACAGTGAAAATAAACTTATATCTATAATATAAAGAGAACTCTTACAGCTGAACAGTAACAATACAAACAACCCAAATAAAATGGACCAGGAATTGTGAACAGACATTTTTCCAAAGAAGGCACAAAGTAGCCATTATTCAAATGGAAGATATTCAACATTCTTAGCCATGAGGGCGAGGAGTGAATGCAAATTAAAGTCCAAAAGAGATATCACTTCACTTCCACTAGGATGGCTGTGAAGACAGACACAAACAATAACAAATGCTCCAGAAAATGCAGAAACTGAGACCCTCACTCATTGATGGTGGGAAAGCAAACTGTTGTTGGGAATAGTATTGCATCTTTAGCAAACATTCTGGTGGTTCCTCACTAGACTAAGCATAATTATCACATGACCCAGGAATTCCTCTCCTAGGTGAAGTGAAAGTATAGCATACAAAAACTCATATATGAATGCTCACAGAAACATTATTCATAATACAGAAAAAGTAGGGATAAACCAAATGTCCACTAATAGATGAATGGATAAAAAAAAATAATAATAATAACACTTGTCCACGGAAGAGACCATCAATTACCAAAATAAGAAATGAATTAGTGATATTTGATACAACATATACATTAAAAGTATTATGCCAGTCAGGAGTGGTGGCACACACCTTTAATCCCAGCACTTGTAATGAAGAGACAGGCAGATCTCCGTGAGTTCAAGTCCAGCCTGGTATACATAGTGAGTTTCAGAACAGCCAAGGCCAAGTAGAAAAACCGTGTTTTGAAAAAACAAAAAGCTAGGCATGGTGGTGTACACCTGTAGTCCCAGGACTCAGGGAGGCAGAGGTAGGTGGATCTCTGTGAGTTCAAGGCCAGTTTGGTTTATAAAGTGAGTCCAAGACAACCAAGGCTACACAGAGAAACTCTGCCTCAACCCCCCCAAAAAAAAATAAAAGTAAAAACAAAAAAAGGTAGAGAGGTAGGGACAAAGAGAGACAGAGAAGGAGGGGCTGAGAGGCAGGGAGAGAGAGAAAAAGAGTGAGAAAGAGAGAAAAAGAGAGAAAACGTTATACCAAATGAAAGAAGCCAGTCACAAAAGGCCACATAGTAGAAAATCCCATGTATAGAAATTGACTACAGTAGGCAAATCCAGAGATAGAAAGTAGATCAACAGTCTAGAAAGGGTATGAGGGTTAATGTCTGCTAAAGCATGCGCTCCTTTTTATTTCTTAAGACAGGGTCTCATGTAGTTCAGGTTGGCTTTTATCTAACCATACAGCTGAGGATAACTTTGAACTTCTGATCTTCCTGCCTCCTTTTCTTCCTGAGTGCTAGGATTACAGACATTCACAACCATGTCCGAGTTATACAGTGCTGGGTATGGAACTTAGTGTTTTGTATTATTTAATAAATACTCTACCAACTGAGCTATATACCAAGTTTTGGAATTTCTTTAAGTAATGAAGTAATCTAAAATTGATTGCCATGATAGTGACACAGATCTATAAAAATGCTAAAGCACATTGAATGAGACACTGCAAATGGCCAAAATCTGTAGGATATTAAGAAAAGCATAATCGATAGGCGCAGTGGCACAGGCCTGTAATCCCAGCACTCTGGCAGAGGCAGGCAAAACTCTGTGAGGCCAGCCTGATCTATAAAAGTGAATCCAGAACCACCAATGCTACATAGAGAAACCCTGTCTCGAAAAACAAAAAAGAAGGAAGGAAGGAAGGAAGGAAGGAAGGAAGGAAGGAAGGAAGGAAGGAAGGAAGGAAGGAAGGATAGAAAAGAAAAAAAACCAAAACAAACAAACAAACAAAAAAAACCAACATAATCCGTATTGGCAAGATAGCTCAGCAGGTAAAGGCACTGGCCTCAAGCTTGACAGCGTAAGTTTGATCCCTGGGAACCACATAGTAGAAGAACCAATTCCTGAGAGTTGTTCTCCAACCTCCACACACATGCATATGCATGTTGTAGCACATGCACCCACACACATGTAAGAGTGCCCACAAACAAAGGAAATAAAATATAATTCTTAAAAAAACACACAGAGAGAACTAGGCATGGCAGCTCCTATTTGTGAGCCCCAACTTTAGAGGATCACTGTGAGTTTGAGGCCAGTCTAAGCTACATGGTGAGTTCTGGTAAGCCTAAGATATGGTAAGACCCACATCTAAAATAAAACAAGGGCCTATGAGGTGGCCAGTGGATTAAAAATACCTACCTGGCAAGCCTAACAACTTGAGTTTGTTCCCCAGAACACAAAAAAGAAAACCAACACTGGCGAACAGTCCATATGGTACACATGCATGCACGCACACGCGTGCACACACGCACACACACACACATAGAAATAAAACACACACAATTTAAAACAAACCAAGAAGAGTACAACCACTACATGAAGGCCCCTGGTATTAGGTAGGGGTGTTTGGCAGCAGGGCTGTGGCTGGATGTACAGACAGGCAACTGATGACCAAGCAAGCTAAAGGTCAGTGATAGACATGAAAGGCGAGCTCTGTTCATGAGTATGGCAAGAAAGTAAAGGCACAGAAACAAAGCCTGGTTCCTAGAGAAATTGGTTCAATTTTTCATGGGTTTTGTTGAGGTTCCAGGGGAAATATCATAAAAAGGTTGTCTAAGGTATAGGGAATAATCACGGAAAAACTGAAATAGCATACTTCAGATTGTCCAAAGTGGAAACCCTAAGTGTGGAAGGAATTAGCATGACATTGGACAAATAAATAAAACAGCATGTGATGAAAAGGGAGAGCCTTCAATGCCCAGCAAAGGATCCTGACTTGTTCTTCAGTGCTTATAGTCAGGCATAGTGGTGTTTGCCTTTAATGCTAGCACTTGAAAGACTGAGGCAGGTGGATCTCTGAATTCAAGGCCAGACATGTTTACATATCAAGTTCCAAGGCAACCAGGGAAACACAACTGTTGGTTCTCCTCCTGCCTGGGAACTGCTTCCCAGCAGCCCACGAAGTCAGGAGGGGCAGAAGACAAGAACCCTGCCTAGAAGGGCCTTCGAGAACTATACCGGGATCACACACCCTGGGAACAGCTGATGACTAGTTCAACTTTAATTCGAGAGAACAAAGGCTATATTCCCCCCCCCCCCGGGGGGGTCTCCAAGAATAGGTGTACGTATTGGTTGGAACTAGGTACTTCAAGGATGCTTGATTTGCATTATACAGTTCGCTCCTATCAAAAGAATAGAATCTCAGTACCTAATTAACATATAGACACAGGGAGGGGAGACCTAGCAGGGAGCTGTGTCAGAAGCCATATATCAAGTGTGGTTAGGGGAGTCTGTGCCTAAAGACACTCTCCAGAAGTCAGGCAGAGAGAAGGGGACCCTGCCAAGGGGAAGGAGTTTTGCCTTTAGTGCTTAGCTTATAATGGCTGTCCTGTCCAGGCAAGAACTGCAACCTCAACCAACAGGGTAGCTCCAACACACAACCATTTTTGTGTGTGTGTGTGTGTGTATGCACATATATAGATGCTAACAAAGGCCAAAAGAAAGTGTCAGATCCCTAGAACTGGAGTTATATGTGACTGTGTGATACCTAATGTAGATACTGGAACCAAATTTGGGTTCTCTGGAAAAGTTGCAAGTGCTCTTAGCCACTGAACCATCTCTCTAGCACCATAACTATCTTGGACAAAAGGAACTGGCAGATGAGGACCAGCAGCACAATGGTTGTCACTTTTGTTTTAGAAAGAATGATGGCCACCAATGTGGAAAATAGGCAGACTGGGGACAAGTCTAGAGATGGGACAGCTCATTTATTTATATTAGCTGTTTAAATTGTTGTCACGGTCAATTTAATCCTTTCCTAAACATTAAGCTTGAAAGCTGTTGCAAAGACAAATCTGGCTGGGCTGTGTTTCTTCAAGGCACAGCTGGTAAGATAGTCTAGTGAGAACAAAGCAAAAATATTTTTTGAAGCAAAAATAATAGGTAATAATAAGTTCACATATAATTTTTAAAGTTCTTGCACTGCCAGGAGAAAACAATAATTACCCGTTAGATATTTAGGTAAGAACTGAAACAGAATGACAATAATTGGACCCAGAAAATCAACAAGCCACTTACCAATGGGACTGGAGTGTCTGGATCAAATTCTGTAGAATTAGCATCTAAAGACAAAGGAGGAATTTAGTCATTTACCAATATTGCTGACACATTCTTGTTGTTAAATAAACAGTTCTTAGCAAACCGTGGACTTACCTTTCAAGTTCAGACAGTTTCTTGCAAACTCAATCACTGCCAGTTGCATCCCAAGGCAAATTCCTATGAGGAGAAGCACATGAGCATGTTTTGTATCAAGTGACACTTTGTGTTCAACTGCTTCCAGCAGTCTCTTAGAATGCAGACCTCAAGAGAGGAAAACTTCCTGTTTAGTTCCCTGCAATCCCCTTGGCACTCAGAGTAGTTCCTGGAAGTGCAGCAAGTGACAGGGGTTAAAACTAAGGAGCAGCCTAAGGTCCTGAGGTGAACAAGAAGCAACTGGAGGGCAGATGAGGAACACAAGCTCCCAGAAGGCATATCTGCCCTCTGCCACAGCTGTTCTTGAACCAAGGCACCTATGTGGGTTGCAGGGCTGTTTCAAAGACCTTGAGTCTTTCAGAGCATGTCTAACAACACCCCAACTCAAGAGGAAGTCTCCTGCTTCTCTAGGATGATTTCATAACCAAAATATGTCCTTAGCCACAGGGCAACCAGAGGTTGGCTAGTCTGTGGATGACCACCTAAGGAAGTGGGGCTGCTAATCACAGGGCTAAAAGCAGCATCAGAGGCTGGCACCCATGCTATGGGCAGGTGTATAGCAAAAAGCAGGGAAGGAGACACAAAATGAAACTGAGCACTTGCTCAGAAAGGCAGAAGTGGGTTAGAGAGCTGGCTCTGGTTAGGAGCACTTGATGCTCTTGCAGAGGAACCAGGCTATCACCACCAACATGGCAGCTCACAAATGTCTATAACTCCAGTTCCAGAATATCCAATGTCCTCTTTTGGCCTCGAAGCTACTGCATGCATGTGGCACACAGACACAGATACAGGCAAAATACCCTGGCACATAAAATAAAAATAAATGTTAAAAAAAAAAAAAGATGAAGAGAAGACAAAGGCCTGGGTCACTACAGGCCTGTTGCTATACAGATACTTTTGAACCTATCTTCATATTCACTGAAGCACACCAACTCCCTCCTATAAATAGGATAATAAGCATTCTAGATGTTGTTACAGACATACATATGTGATCCAGGGGATGCAAATGGAGAAGCCATCAATATACCAGCATGTCAGGATGAAGGAATAAGCAGGAAATGGCTGAGTGCTCACAGAACTTCAGAAAGTTCCATATGACTAGGGCAGAAATAGACATGATGTTGTAAAGCTGAGGTGCATACCTATAATCATAGATCATAGGAGGTATAGGCAGGAGGATCAGGAGTTCAAAGCCAGCCTCAGCTACATAAAAAATTCAAGGCTCACTTAAGGATGGGTATATGAGAAGAAACATGCTCAACACAAATACACACACACACACACACACACACATACATATACATATACATACACACATACACACACACAGAAAAGCTTGAAAAGATAGATTAAGACAGTGGAAATGGCCAGACAGGGGCAGGCAGACTGCTATGAGTTTGGGGCCAGCCTGGTCTACAGAGCAAGTTCCAAGACAGCTACATAGAGAAATCATGTCTCAAAAAAAAAAGAAAAACAAATAAACAAAAAAAAAAACAAAACAGTAGAAATGTAAAAAGAATTTCACTGGCCATATTACACATATGTTATACAGTTTCAGACCAGATATACTTCTCACTGTATAAAAGAGAGCACTTGAGGCTGGAGAGATGGCTCAGCAATTAAAAGTACTTGTTACTGTTGCAGAAGAGCCAGTTTTGTTTTCCAGCACCCACATGGCAGCTAGAGAATCAGATGCCACCTTCTGACTTCACAGATCACTAGGCACCCATGTGGTGTACAGATAAAAAAGCATGTAAAACAAAAGAGGGCATTTATTGGTTGTTTTGTCTATATTAAATTTATATGCCTTTAACTGCACAAAATAAAAACGAATAAAGAGCACACACGAGAGCAAGCAAGCAGAGAGAGAAAACACGAGAACAACTTTTTGCACAATGAAAATTGCATCAAGAGCTTTAACCAAGTTTAGAGACAGACTTAAAAACACAAACAGTGAGGGTCTAAGGCTATAGTTTACTTGATGGAGTGCTTGCCTAACGTGCTCAAAACTCCAGGTTCCATTCCCCTATATGGCATAAACTAGCACCTACTAGTAATCCCAGCACTAAGAAAGTGAAGCTAGGAGGATCAATAGTTCAAGTCTATGTAGAAACTTTGAGGTCAGCCTTAGCTACATAAAATACCCTGTATGAAAACACCCTGTAATAGTTTGAATGAGAATGGCCCCCATAGGTTCATAAGTCTAAATATTTTGTCTCCAGTTGAAGGCTGTTTGGGGAGAGACTAGAAGGTGTGCCTTGTTGGAAGAAAAGTTACTGCAGGCAGGCTCTGAGATTTCAAAAGACTCTTGCTATTTTGAATCAGGTCTCTATGCTTCCTGCTTACAGATCAAGATATGAGCTCTCAGCAGCTGCTCCAAGTGCCGTGCTTGCCTGTCTGCTGCCATGCTCGCAGCCAAGATGGTGATAGACGCCTTTCCCTCTGGAACTGTAAGCACCTCCCCGTGCCAAAAATAAAAAAAAAAAAAAAAAAAGAAAGAAAGAAAAAAAAAAAAAACTTCTTTGTATAAGTTGCCTCGGGCCTAGTGTTTACCATAGCAATGGAAAAATAACTAACACACAACACATGCCCCTTTTTATTTGTGTGTGTACATGATGTATGCCCAAGTGCAGAGGCCAGAGGAATAAATCAGGTATCCTGCATTACCAATCTCTATCTTCTTCACTTGATACAGGGTCTCTCAGTGAACCTGGAACCTGAAAATTCAGCTAGGCTAGCTGCCCAGCAAGCTCCAGCAATTCTCCCGTCTCCCCAACCAAACATATGCACGCACAGTGTTAGAGTTACAGACATGTGCTGCTGTACTCAGCTATTTTTTATTAATTTATTTTTTATTAATTACAGTTTATTCACTTTGTATCTCAGCTGTAGCCCCCTACCTCATCCCCTCCCAATTCCACCCTTTCTCCCTCATCTCCTCCCATGTACTTCTCCAAGTCCACTGATAGAGGAGGTTCTCCTGCCCTTCTATATGACCCTAGCCTATCAGGTCTCATCAGGACTGGTTGTATTGTCTTCCTCTGTGGCCTGGTAAGACCGCTCCCCCCTCAGGGAGAAGTGATCAAAGAGCCAGCCACTGAGTTCATGTCAGAGACAGTCCCTCTTCCCATTACTAGGGAACCCACTTGGAGACTGAGCTGCCATGGGCTACATCTATGCAGGGGTTCTAGGTTATCTCCATGAATGGTCCTCGGTTAGAACATCAGTCTCAGAAAAGACCCCTGAGCCAAGAATTATTGGTTGTTTTGCTCTCCTTGTGGAGCTCCTGTTCTCTCTAGGTCTTTCTATCTCTCCCTTCTTTCATAAGATTCCCTGCACTCTGCCCAAAGTTTGGCTATGAGTTTCAGCATCTGCTTTGATACCCTGCTGGCTAGAGTCTTTCAGAGGCCCTCTGTGGTAGGCTCTTGTCCTGTTCCCTGTTTTCTCCCTCTTCCAAGGTCCATCCTGATTGCCTTTCCGAGTGAGGATTGATCATCTTACCCAGGGTCCTCCTTCTTGCTTAGCTTCTTTAGGTGTACAGATTTTAGTATGATTATCCTATGTTATATGTCTAATATCCACTTATGAGTATACAGCATGTGTGTCTTTCTGCTTCTGGGATACCTCACTCAGGGCGATCTTTTCTAGTTCCCATCATTTGCCTACAAATTTCATCATTTCCTTGTTTTTAATTGCTGAGTAGTATTCCATTGTATAAATGTACCAAAATTTCTGTTTCCATTCCTCCGTTGAGGGACATCTGGGTTGTTTCCAGATTCTGGCTATCATGAATAAAGCTACTACAAACATGGTTGAGCAAATGTCCTTGTTGTATACTTGTGCACATTTTGGATATATGCCTAGGAGTGGTATAGCTGGATCTTGAGGAAGCGCTATTCCTAGTTGTCTGAGAAAGCACCAGATTGATCTCCAGAGTGGTTGTACAAGTTTACATTCCCACCAGCAATGGAAAAGGGATCCCCTTTCTCCACTTCCTCTCCAGCATGTATTTTCACTTGAGTTTTTGATATTAGCCATTCTGATGGGTGTAAGATGAAATCTCAGGATAGTTTTGATTTGCATTTCTCTGATAACTAAGGGCGTTGAACACTTCTTTAAGTGTTTCTCTGCCATTTGATATTCCTCTATTGAGAATTCTCATTGGTTCAGGAGACAACTTCCTGAACAGAACACCAACAGCACAGGCTCTAAGATCAACAATCAATAAATGGGACCTCATGAAACTGAAAACCTTCTGTAAAGCAAAGGACACTGTCATCAGAACAAAATGACAGCCTACAAACTGGGAAAGCATCTTCACCAACCCTATATCTGACAGAGTGCTAATATCCAGAATATATAAAGAACTCAACAAGTTAAACACCAACAAACCATGTAATCCAATTAAAGAATGGGGTACAAAGCTAAACATACTCAGCTTTCAATGTGGGTGTTAGGGATCAAATCAGGATGTTTGTTGCCCACTGAGCCATCTCCCCAGCCTGAACACCTCATCTTAAAAAAATAATTAACAGTGACCCAAATGAGCTTATGTAACAGTAAAACAAAGCAAGTTTCCTGGGTTTTCTTTGGAAAATGAGTACCAAGAGTCTGGAGTATCCAGGAATGAACAGGTTATAGATAAAACTTAACATCTAACATTCTTCAGATAGTAAAGTAAAACAAACCTTCCCTTCAGTTCATAAGCCCACCAGAATACCTAAACCACAGTGGGAGACTAAGCTTCCATGACGACCTGAATCTCCAGCAGCAGAGTTGCTTTTAACACGTCTGGTCCCATGTCACCTGGCCTTACTATTACAGAAAATTGGCTTTGCAATTTAAGCAAGAGGTTTCAAGAAACCTGCCTCTACAAAAGGTTTAGTGGTATGATAAATGCATGTAGTCCCAGGATTTGGGATGCTAAAGCAGGAGGGGAGCTTCAATCAAGAAGTTCAAGGTCAGCGTAGACAACACTGTAAGACAGTCAGACCCCAGCTCTCTTTCTCTCTTTCTTTTTTTTTTCTTTTGATTGAGACAGGGTTTCCCTGTGTAGTTCTGGCTGTTCTGGAATTCACTCTGTATACCAGGCTGGCCTTGAATTCAGAGAGCCAACTGCTTCTGCCTCTGGATCTCTGAGATTAAAGGTGTGTGCCACCACACCTGGCTTAAGCACTTATTTTTCAAACAAAAAGGTTATCACAGAGTTCTGCTGAATGTTTTCTTGCTGGAAATGCTAAGAGGACTAGTAAGAAGACAGAGACAGACTTCTTCTAGCTTCTTGCTACTCAGAGATAAAAGTTTCTTAAAAACTAAGGAATAAGTCTAAGCTTTACATGTCATTGAATTTTCTCCAACTGTGCTGCCATGAGCAATATGCAAAACAATTTGGGTAGCTGAGTTACAATAAAACTTAATTTACAAAAGCAAGCTAGGAGCCACATTCAGTTTAATAAGCCCTATAACAAATGACTTGGTGTCTGACTTTCAAAACTAAGTTCACACCTTCACAAGAACAAACCTTATTACATGTTCCCCTACTAAGGTATGACACCTACCTTATGTCAAAACCTGGTGATGTACCTCAATGGTAGAGTTGCCTTACATGTACACTTAAGGTCCTAAGTTTAAGTCTCAGCACCAAAAAAAAAAAAAAAAAAAAACCTTAAAACTCACAGAATTAATACATAAAGGTCTTACCCAGAAATGGAATCTTCTTTGTCCTTGCCCAAGAAATTGCATGGAGTTTTCCCAGTGTTCCTCGCATTCCAAAGCCTCCAGGCACAAGAATACCACTGAAATCAACACAAAATGAAAGTAAAAATGCATCCACAATTTTTAAATATTTTAATTAGTGTGTGTGTGTCTGTGTGTGTGTGCGCACGTGCGTGCGTGTATCTGTGGTCCAGGTGTGCCTGTGTATATGGGCAAGTGCATGCATGCCACAGTGCGTATGTGAAGGTCAGAGGACATCCTGTTAACACTTGGTTCTCTCTTTCCACTATGTAGGTGCCAGGGATCGATCCCAAGTTGCCAGGCTTGGCAGCAAGTACTTTCACCTACAAAGCCACCTCACCAGCCCACACTACTTTTATTTTTAAAACTTGTATTTTTTCAGTGTTCCCAAACTCAATACTTGAGACAATCACTAATGAATGCCTGAGGTCTACTTGCAGACTAGATTACATAATTAAACATCTTTGAAGCTCAACCTTATGGGGTCTTATGACAATTTCTCATAACTGATTTTATTATATATTTTCTGATAGGTCTTGGTAGCTTCTGAATATAGTAACTGAAAAATTCAACTCAATACAACATGCACTGAGAGCCAGTCAGGGTAGTACATGGCTGTTTAACCCAACACTCCGAAGGTAAAAATAGGAGGATTGCTACAAGTTCTAGCACTTGAAGATGCTAGATGACTACGGCTAAACAACAAGACCAGAGTAAACCAGTAAATCAAAACCAAAAACCAAAGACTACACTGAGAACTGTGTGTGCCGATACATACTTGTAACTGTAGCACTCCAGAAGTTGAGGCAGAAGGATTCAGAGTTCCAGGCCAGCCTGGAATAAGGAGTGAAATCTGTCTCAAAAGACAAAAACAAATAAACAAAAGAGTATAAAATAAATTCTACTCAGGGATGAAATAACTTAGTAGTAGAATGCTTGCCTAACGTGAAGGGCGAGAGAAACATAAAATGAATAAAGATTTTTAAAATGGTTAAAGTCATTTTGCTGTTGTTAAATTTTTGAGACAGGGTTTCATGGAGTGCAGACTCGCCCCAAACGAACTCTATAGTCAAGACTGGATGCTCCTATCTCAATCTTAAGTGGCAGGGTTATAGGTATGTACCATCACATCTAGCTGAGTTGAAGTTCTTCCCTAACTACTGTATAAAAACTTTCCACTTTCTTACATCACTCAAAAAAGAAACTGGTTTAAAAAAAAAAAACAAACCAAAAAACAAAACAACCTAAGATTTCAACTCCCAATTAAGTAACAGTGAATGAAAATGTTCTAGCTAGAGCAAAGATACAAGTTAAAAGGCAACAGTTCAAGAGAAAAACCAGGTAACTGCAAGATCCAATGCTGCCCCAGGGTTCTCATGATCACTTACAGAAAGAAAAGAGAAGGGGAAGGGAAGAACTAGAACATGTGGAAGGGTTGGGGCTAAAGCTCAGCTGGTAGAGTATTGTCTACCATGAAGCCCTGAGTTCCATCCCTATGAACCAGGCGTGGTAGTGTGTATCTATAGACTCCAAACTTAGGAGGTGGAGACAGGAGGATTGAGGATTCAAAGTCATCCTAAGCTACAGTTTCCAGGCCAGCCTGGGCTACACAAGACCCTATTTCAACAATTAATTAATTAATTGACTAATTAATTAATTAATTAATTATAACAATAAGGATAAATTAGTACACACTTGGAAAAGAAAATCAGAGAAAGATCCTGCTTGTATTTAATTTTATATGTGTAGTAGTCATCACTGCATCCTTCATTAAAACCAACACTCTTTCCCTCTAATGCTGCCTCCCACACTCTTGAAAGAAAACTGCTTTTAGTGCCCATTACCTGAACTCATACAGCACCCCTGAATATAATGTGGCATGAATGCTGCACAAGCACCTGCAGAGACCACCTGGCCTCCTAACTACTCCAAGTATACAAAATCTAGCCACTGCAACAAGTGGAGCAAGTACAGAGAAAGCAAAGTGACATTGTCCTTCTTGTGTGAACAGTTCTTGTACTCACTCAGCTAAGCACAGCTTCTGCCAAGCTTCATGGAATTTCATAGGATCCTCGGCTTTGGTGATTGGCTCCAGATCGATGGAGTCTATGTACTAAAAAAACAAACAAAAAATAAAAAACATGAAAAAGAAAGCATCAAAAATCCAACAGGTAAAAGGAACATTTTAAGAAAAATAAACAGTCAAAAATTCTACAGCTATGTAACACAGTTATTCAGTAATTGAGGACTAGTAGAGCTTACTTGTAAAGCCCTTGCCTACAGGAAAATGGAAGAGAAAAACATGAAATAAAGATAAAATGAAGTGCTTAGGATAGGAACTAAGGGGATAGTTCAGTGGCAAAGCCTATAAAATGCCCTGAGTTCAACATCTAGGACCTCAAAACATCTTGGTTTGGTTTGGTTTAGTTTTTCCAGACAGGGTTTTTCTGTGTAGCCCTGGCTGTCCTGGAACTCACTCTGTAGACTAGGCTAATCTCAAACTCATAGAGATCTGCCTGCCTCTACCTCCCAAGTGCTGGGATTAAAGGTATATTCACTATATCTAGCTTCCAAAGACATTGTAAAAGCTAAAAGAGAAAGTGCCAAGTCTGGTGGTATATGCCTATAGTCCCAGAACCCAAAAAACAGAGACAGTAGGACACTGCAAGTCTACAGAGTGAGTTTCAGGCTAGCCAGAATTTTGAGACCCTGTCTCAGGGCCATAACCCTTCCTGAAAATTTATGGAGGATCTTATAAGGCACAGAGTAAATTCAAAAACAGTCTGGTCAACTTAGCAAAGCTCTATCTCAAATATAACTAAAAGAAGGTTAGAAATACAGCTTAGTGATAAATCATTTGCCTAAATATGTGCAAGAACCTATGTTAAATCCTAGTACCACATGTGTAAGGGAAGAGAGTGCTACAGGAGGGAGAGGAAGAAGGAAAGGAAATGACCTGGGCACTGAATCTCTATTAAGCTTCCTAGTAGAGAGCACTTTACATGAGTTATCACAGGTTATCACTGAAAGACTTCCAGCTGAATCTATGAAACTCACTGTTGGGAAGGCCACTGGGAATCTTGCATTTGCCTTTCCCCAAATTCCATCCCATACCATTCTTCTATTTGCCAATTTTCCTTTGTATTCTCTGGTTATCATAAATCTTAGACATGGCTAGGACTGTGTGTTGAGCCCTGTCAGTCCTCCTGTTCAACATACCATACAGCAGTTAGACCTAAGAGCGCTCCATCACAGTCTGCCTCTTTGGGAATTTAAAAATGGTGTTTATTTATTTTGGAGTGCTGGGGATGGAACCCAGCTGATCATGCTGAGTTGCACTCCAGCACTGAGTCACATCTCCAGCTGTGGTGGTCTGAAGGAGAATGGCCTCCATAGGCTCATATCAAGCTCATAACTAGGCTTGATGCCTAGTTAATGGAAAGATTTGGGAAGGATTAGGGGATGTGGTTTTATTGAAAGAGGTGTGTCACTCTGGGGATGAGTGAGGTTTCAAAAGCCCATGCCAGACCCAATGTTCCTTTCTATGCCTGAAATTTATGAATAAAATGTAAGTTCTCAGCTGCTTCTCCAGCGCCAAGCCTGCCTGTCTACTGCCATGCTCCAGCCATTGATGATAATGAATCAACCCTCTGAAACTATAAGCAAGCCACCAACTAATATAAGAGTTGCCTTGATCATGGTGTTTCTTCAAAGAAATAAAAGAGTAAATTGTATTTGTTTATTTGTTTCACAGTGTGGGGAAGATGGAACCCAGGTCCTTGATCATGCTAAGTAAGTACTCCAGCACTGAGCCACAGCCCAGCCCAACCTGCCACTTAAGACTATCTAGAAGAGGGCCAGAGAGATGGGTCAGCAGTTAAGAGCACCTACTGCTGGGTGCTCATTTCAGGTAGCTCACAACCACCTTTATCTGCAGCCCCAGGGTAATCCAATGCCTCTGGACTCCGTGTACACTTGTACTTGCATGCGAGTACACCTACACAAAGACACAGATACACATACACATAACTAGAAATAAAAGAAAGAAATAGCTGGAAGAGCAAGCTGGGACTCACCATCACATTCAATTTGTGATTGATGGCCAAGGCTGAATGTTCCAGTGCCTTGAACACAGAGGCATAGCAGTCCCTGAGTTTGGTATATTTACCAACCAGGGCAATGGAGCATATTTTCTGCAATCCTTCATACCTGAGAGGAAAAAAAAGCTCAAAGTCCATATGTACACTATGAAACATCACAAGCAACAATGCAGCCACTGTTTTTATTCCAAGGCACTTTTCAGAACCTTAGGCACAGAGAAGATGCTCAGTGTACTTGATACAAACCTGTCCTCCAACATGCTAAAATCTGGTCATCAAACAGATTTGCAAAGCATAAGAAGAGCTGGAGAGATGGCTCAGCTTGTGAAGCACTTAACACTTAAGGATGAGGACCTGAATTCTTATCTCCAGAAACCACATAAAAAGCTAGGCAAGGTGACACACACCTGTAACTCCAACACTCCTGTGAGGAAATAGGAAGTGGAGACAGGATACTCCCCAGAAACTGTCCTCAGTCTCCACATGTACATGGAGATACAAATGTGTGTGTGTGTGTGTGTGTGTGTATACATGCACACAAATTAAGAAACAGAGTTTCTTTAGTGACCCCAAGAAACCTCAATGTTGGCTTACAGAAGCAGATACAGGTTTATCAGAGAAATCTCAGAGTTTATCAGAGAAAAACTTAAAAGCACCAAAACAAAACAAAAAAAAAATTAAAATGCTGCCTCATAAACTCTGGGCTGTTCATAAATTAGTTTATAAGGTGACATTATGTAAGAATACACAATGTACTTGTCAACAGAAAACATTCTGGTATGTTTGTAAGGTGGCATTTGTATAAGCAAATGCATTCAAAGTTGTTTACATTTAAAATTGTCACATTCCCAACTGTCCTACTAAAGTCTGGTTATTTGTGACATGTCTGAAGAATAGTGATAAGAGAACTATTTAAAATAGTCTAAGCCATTTACATCATTTTAATGAGAACTTTCCATTCTACAAAAGATATTCAATCACATGTCACAATTATAAACAAGTTTCAGTGTTGTTTTTGTCAGGAAATATGTTCAGAGAACATGAAAAATATGGTGATCAGATGTTAGGTATGTAGATGATATTGTAGAAATTTGAAGGGAGTTCTTGCTCCAAACAATGAGGCAAAATGTTGCCATAAGCAGGTAGCCCTCTTTCACATCTCTATCTGCACTGCAGGCAAGAAACAGTATTGGGAAGTGGAGATGTGACTTAGTGGATGAAACACTTGCAGTCACTCAAGAAAATGCAAGATGAGAATAGTGGCCCAGCTGTAATCCCAGGGCAAGGGAGGTAGAGATGGGTTCCCCAGGACAAGCTGGCTAGCCAGGCGAGCTCCAGAATCAGCAAGAGACTGGATCTCAATATATAAGGTGGGGATATTGAGGAAGATGTCAATGTTGGACTTCCACATGCATGTACACATATGTGCATGTGCATGCTACATACACACATGCCCACACACATGCAAAATTGCATAGATGCACACAAAAACAAAAACAGGCTGGGAGCCAGGATGTGGCTCAGTTGGTAGAGTGCTTGCCAAGCATGGTAGAAGCCCTTGGTTTGCTGATCCTCAGCACCATGTAAAATTGGGCATGGTAGTAACACACCTGTCATGAACCCTAGATCTCAGGAGATGAACACAGAATGATCAGAAGTTCAAATCATCCCTGGCTACACAGTGAGTTCAAGGCCAGCCTAGGAAACATGAGATCTCACCTCAAAAATAAAAACTAAGCCAGATGTAGCACTCAGTAAGGCAGAGGCAGGCAGGGATCTCTGTGAATTTGAGGCCTTTCTGATCTACATTGAGAGTTCCAGGCTAGACAGAGCTACACAGTGAGGCACTGCCTCAAAAAAATAAAGATAAAATTAATTCAAAACACAAAAACAAAAACTAGGCTGAGTGGAGAAAAACTAAAAGACTAAAAATAAAGGGAAAGGTAAGACTTCCAAGGAAGGTCAATAAATAAAGGACCTAAGAAAAGGCTGTCAGACCTTTAACTCTCTGCTTAGTTTTAGCTTGCACTGTAGAATCCACAGCTGTGTGTGGCCATAAGCAGCAACTGTCTAGCATATATGAGGCCCTGGGTTCAATCACCAGTACCACAAAATGGTGTTGCTGATGATAATGATGATGACACTGATGATCATGAATGAATTCTTGATAATAGAAAGCAAGTTAATCTCAAACTAAATACCACAGATACCATGAGAAGCAGATATTCCGACCCAAAGTGTAGTCCACCTGCCTGGCAGCTATAGCTGCCTCTGTGCAAAGAGTTGGCTGGGCCTCACCTCTTCCCCTCACACAGACGAGAGACATACCTCTGACCTAAAATAATGCACACCGAAAGCAACTATAGGCTCCTCCTATTCACTTATGTCCAGACTTTCTTGACAGAAGTCATAGGGAAGGTGAGTGCATGGGCCACACACTCCCAGAGTGGGAGCTGCTGTGCTGACTGGCTGATGTGCTAAGCCTATCCCTCGTATTTACTTTCCTTGTGAACATTCACTTCCCAGACCAGCCAAAGGTCCATCTCACATGTCTAACACAGTGTCACAGATGTCTGCAGCAAGGCTGTGATACTACTGGGAGATGTTAGAGAACGGGAAGGAGAGTCTGCTTTATAGCCTCACCCAAAGTGGGGAGAGGTATCTCATTTCAGCCTGGGGTCCCAGGAAAGGAAAATACACAGTTTAACCGGGACTCCTGGCCTCTGAGTGGCAGTGAGCTTCTATCATCACGGTGGCTGTTTTGCCCTCTCACTGACTCCTGTAGTCTACAGACTACAGTGAGGGGGTGGTCACTATACATGGCAGTCACCAATAAACCAACATTACTGCCAAAATGATACAGATATTCTATCTTTGTTTACTCTGAAGACTGTAGTGTGCTGAATGGGTCCACACCAGGCTGAAAATGCAGCTCACACTTTAACACTTGTTGTATGCTTGAATACCGGGCTTCAGTCCTGAGAGAGGGGAAAAAAACTTCTCTGGGCCTGGAAGCTCACTCCTTTAATCCTAGCACTCAGAGGAAGAGGCTCTCTGAATTCAAGGTCAGCCTGGTCTTCAGACCCTGACTCTTAAAAAAGCACTCAGGAGACAGTGGCAGGCAGATCTCTGAGTTTGAGGCCACCCTGGTTTACAGAGTGAGTTCCAGGACAGTCAGAGTTATACAGAGAAACCCCATCTGGGAAAAACAAAACAAAACCTTATAAAATGACCTTGTCTGCTGATACAACTAAGGATCTGGAGTTAAGAGAGAGTATTAACTACTGCAAGATTGTCTTTAATTGATGTGCACGTGTGTGTGTGTGTGTGTGTGTGTGTGTGTGTGTGTGTGTGTGTGTGTAAAATAAATAGATACAATTTTAAAATAAGAATTTTAAAAGCATATAACTATTTGATGATAGCTGGGCATGTTGGTGGATGCCTATATAATCCCAGCACTGTGGAGGCAGAAGCAAGCATTCAAGGCAAGCCTAGGCTGCATGAAACTATTTCCAAACCAACTAAAACAAACACCAAATTTATTGCCAGATGAAATAGTAACAGAGCCAAAACATCCCATTTAAAGGATCACCTTTAAGAAATGTTAGCCAAATCTTAAAACAAAAGCTCTAAAACATTTACAACTATAAATTAGGCTAAGGATGTGGCTCAGCAACAGAGTGCTTGCGTAACACACACAGGCCTTGAATTCTGGTCCCAGGATTAAAAAAAGAAAAAAAAAAGTGGGAAAAATATTCAGCAAATAAAAAGCATATTAATACATAAATCAAAATTGTTAGCCTGCTTCTTGTTTGGCTAGTAACCTATGATGTCATTATTGGTTGCCACCCATCGAGACCTGGGAAAAGTGGACCACTGCCTCTTGCCTCGTCTCTTGCTCTTGCTCTCTCTTGTGTTCTTGCTCTCTCCTGCTCTCTCCCCTTTCTCTGTTGGGGAACCCCCTCCCTCCCACTACCATGTCTTTCTCCCTCTCTACTCCCCCCCTCCATCCAATAAACCTCTTTCATATAATATCTGTGTGTGCATCACTTCTAAAAAAATAAAATTAACATTGGTGCATGGGACCAGGAAAAGCTCTCCTTGTAGTATCTAGTCTGGTCACGCCAAGACCCCTTATGCACTATGATACCTGCAACAGATTTGTCTTCTGTTCCACCTATCACTAACCACCACTCAACCACACATGCCCAAAACCTACAATGTCTCTCAACTGCTCTGCCTTTCCTTTATTTAAAACAATATCAAATGTTTTTATTTTTATTTATTTATTTATTTATTTATTTATTGTTATTATTTATTACAATTTATTCACTTTGTATACTGGCTGTGGCCCCCTCCCTCGTTTCCTCTCAATCCCACCCACCCTCCCTCATCTCCTCCTAGCCCCTCCCCTAGTCCACTGATAAAGGAGGTCTTCCTCCCCTTCTATCTGACCCTAGCCTATCAGGTCTCATCAGGATTGGCTGTATCATCTTCCTCTGATAAGGCTGTATCCCCTGCTTTGCCTTTTACCTGCCTTTTACTGAACACACCTATCCCTGTGCTTGCAGCTGCTCAGACACTGAGACCTGCCATGTACCAAATGATGGGCTATTCCCTCGCCCACAATTCACTCTGTGCTAGAACCACTTGAGGAAACTGGTACACTCATGCCAGACTTCATTTCTAGCTGCTAGAACTGCAACTGCAGACTTTGACACACCCTGCTTCTAAACCATCCCTGTTAGGGAAGGGAATTTCCCACATTGCTCTCGTGCCTTACGCTCAGAGGTGTGTTTTCAATTGCATAATTGCTCAGCCATGCCATGCGCACTTGGAGAGTTTCAAACCAGGCCAGGACAGCCATATGGCTGCCACCACGGCTGTGCACAACATGTGACAAGCTGCCATGATTTTAAAATAGAGAAGGCAAACCATGCCCCTTGCCCACTCCTACCACACTCACACCATGCAGTCTAAACAATGGCTTTCAAAAATATCTGACCTCTAAGGCCCTACTTCCCAGCTTTTAAAATCTTTCTTCCTGATTTCTGTATACTCTACTTTTAAGAAAATATATTTTTTTAAATGTTGTAAATTCTTATCTAATGATTTATATAATTTGCGTTTACATTTATAAGACTTCCTTAGTCATAATTACTCTATTTTGTCTCCTTTTAGACTAAAAGCAACAAGTCTCATTTTAAATGGATATAAAATTTTAAATTCAAAGTTATATTTTTACAACATGCTGAATATATGATTCAACCCTGGTTCAAAAAAAATTTATATGATGCTAAAATTTCAAGGTTATAATGGTCTATTTAAATTAAGCTAATTTAAAATGTCTATCTAACTGCCTATGTCTTTATCAATTTTTAAATTAATAAATAAATGCTGTTTCTCCCGACATGAGCTGCCTGTGATATGGATTCACCACTCACTAGGCTTTCTGGCTAATAAGTTCAGTATAATAAATTCTAATATAATTTTAAAATTGTTCTATACTTTCTACTATGTTGTTTATTCTAAAATTCAGAACTCAGAGGTTACTAAAAGTTTTTGCCTAGCTACCCTTAAACTATATGATATAATTTCAAGGATACTCTAAATTAAGATCTATTAATTGTAGAGGTATTTATTTGTTTATGTTAAAACGTGGTCATTGTGCTATATCATCACTATCAAAAGGTTAAATTATGCTTGGTCTTTTTTTCTAAAAACGGTAATATTATTAATCTATAGTATAGCCTTAGCCTTTAATAAGATAGTATATAAAAAGTCCATACAAAGTCATACAGGAGACTGTTATACTCTCACTTTAATGGACTATATTTATGACTTTTAAGGTTCCAACTTAATAGGGACAAAACCTAAAGTCCTAATATTTGATTATTTGATGATTAACAAATCCAAGTTAATAATCAGTCATCTCATAGATGATCAAGTCCTCTAACATGTCAAAAAATATATTTATAGTCCTACATATGCAGAAGTGGTCTCACTGCCATCTTAACTAAACAGCTGAGGATGATCCCTGAGGACCATACAGGAATTGGTAAAAATAATTCCAAGAGCCATCCCAACAGACTCACCTACAGCAAAACTATGCTCCAGACCTTCCTTGGTTGCTACTGTGAGGCTGTTGGCATTCCCACAGGAAAGAAAAAAAACAAACAAACAAACAAGAAGCCTACAATCTCGTGGGGGTCTAGCCAAAAGTCAAGTCTTCCAGTTAACTGTTTCAAATGCAGCCAAAGGGGACACTGGTCCTGAGGCTGCCATAACAAGCCACACCCTGCTTTCCGGCAGACTGGCCTCTGGAAGGCAAATTGTTCCCATGCAGGCTAGCCCTCTGTGCAGACACAGAGGCCTAATCAGTGCAGGCACTTCCAGCCTTCGAGCTCCTTGGTCTGGCAGAGGACAAATGGCTACTAGATTCAGCAAACTCCACCAGCCTCACCGAGCCCAGAGTAATGCTAAAGGACTCTTTTAATCTCACACTCAGGTCCCAAAATCATATTGCCAACCTCTGTCTTGGGAAACTTCAGATGCCTTCTCAGTCCTCTTCATGCAGGAGATGGGCCCTAAGCCTCACTCCTAGAGTTGCTACTGTCAAGTGTAGACACAGTCTAAGTTTGTTATCAGACTAAAAAAAAAAAAAAAAAAACATAGGTCTCAGGAACTGGAGATACAGCTCAGCAGTTAAGAGCACTATCTGCTCTCCCAAAGGCTGCAGGTTCAATTCCCAGCACCCACTTGGTGGTTTACAACTGTTTGCAACACCAATTCCCAATTCCCAGAGATCTGTCACCTTCACTCAAATGCAAACATAATGAAATTAAATAAATCTTTTTTTTAAAAAAAGTCTCAGATGTAACCTTTTACTATTCCTTTAGCTAAAGGACAATAAATGTTCATAGCACCCTCACCTATGTCTCATAGTAAATAGATACAAAGCCTAAGGATACAGAAGTTTAAGTTATGAGGATAAATGTTTGAGGGTCTAATAAGATACTTCAAGGTTGGTAAATGCAAATTATTAAGGTTAAAAGGTCTAAGGCAATTTAAGGTATCTTATTAAATAAATAAAAATGCTTCATATTTCCTCCTGTTACTATGCTACTGTTGTATTGACTGTCCATAGTTTGACATTTATCACTTGAGCTCTGATTTATTAATCTAACTCTGATTAAAAAAAATTTAAAAAAAACAAGATTCCACTATGCAATCCACTATCATGGTTCCAAGCTCAATATTTTAAATTTCCTTTGGTTTATCTTTTAAGTATAGACTTAAAAATTGTTTCTCATTGTGCTAGACTTATGCACAGTCTTCAAGATAGAAAAAAAAAAGCCTCTTTTTCATAATGTATAATCATACTAAAACTTAAGATCCAGAGAGCTTTTGCCCCTTCTACTTCACGGAAGTCTTCTGCCTTTCCAAAGCTCGCCTTAAAGAATGTCTACGCTGTTAATACAAATGTGTGTGTCTACTGCCTTTTTCCATAATGTATATTTCACTACAAATTACAATTGTGATGCTAACACATCTAAAGTTTATCTCCTTTCTAAAACTTAAAAGTTCTTTTAAGCTGCAGGATATCCACCTGAATCCACCTCTCAGATCAAATGAAATCCAAATAAGTACTTAACTTTGTCAATCAACTTAACTTACTCACCTATTGCCTATCTCAAAGGGTGGGATTCTTACCCCTTTCCCTGGTTTGGGGACTCCTCTTTCCTGGCTACCTGACTGTTACATTCCTACATCCAACACTGGCTGACTGGTGAGTCTTCACTTCTGGTTGGGACAAACCTTGCCAACCTATATCCAAAGCCTTCATCTAGGACCTTCTTCTCCATTGGTGAAATTTTTCTCTCTACCAGCATGGTTTCGCTCCCTTCCCTGCTTGCATGTCTATGAAATCCTAGCTAGGTGAACTGTGTCTGCTATCGGCAACTGTACCCTTGGTCTCTGGCCAACACTGACGAGCTGTTGGAACAGATTCCACCATACTAATCTACTGAGTCAAACCTTCTGCTTGTATGTTCCAGTATCCTGCTAGACCCAGCTGTTTCTTACATCCACAACAGCACCAAGGCAGCTACTCACAGATGCTCCAGTCTAATCTCACAGACTGCGTCAAGCCAGACCTACACATTCCCTCCCAGCCACAGATGTTCTCAGATCATGGGCAGCATCAAAACAACTTGTTCTTCCTGGACTTGATCAGCATTTCAGCCTTTTGACCTCCCAACAGCCACTCTAGTGTCAGCAGGAAGTAGCCAGAAGAGAATATTCATCCATTATTCACTTATTCTCAACAAAAAGCTGGAATGCTGTGCTTCAGGCCCAAGACAAACAGCTCCAGGTTTTCCCAGCATTCCTCAGTCCCTACCTACTGCCTTGCATGGCTGGCAACTCTACCCTCTACCCTGAACTTCCAGGGCAGGGGCTTCCTCTCCTCCTCACCTTGTAATCTATAGACATTTTCATGCTCTTACTTTTTTTTTCCTCTCTCTCTCTTACCCCTTTGCATGGCCACCAAGAGCTGCTTCCAATGAACTTACATTTATATACTTTAACTTGCCTTACATAAAAAGCAGTCCAACTTCCTCATTTTTTAACATAGAAAAAGGGAGTAATGTTGGCATTGAGGCAGCCTGCTTCTCAGTTGCCTAGTAAATACGATACCATCATTGGTCACCATCCACAAGGGTCTGGGATAAAAGAACCCCTGCCTCTTAACTCTCTCTCTTGCACTCTCTTGTTCTCTAGTTCTCTCCTGCTCTCTCTTTCTCTGTCAGGGCAGCCCCCTCCTCCTTTCCCACACCATGTCTCTCTCCCTCTCTCTTTCCCTCCCTCTCTCTCCATCTCCATCCAATAAACTTTGTTCATATAATGGTAGCTCACTCAGTAAAGCACTTGCCACAAAAGCATGAGAAACTCAGTTCAAACCCACATAAAACCATAAAATCCTGAAATCTTATTTTCCTATGTATTTATAAAGACTAAGAAAGTCTGGAAAGAATAGGAAAAAATTTTTAGAAAAAATTTTACATAAAGAATTCCTTTCACATACCTGTCAGCCATGGCTTTCCACTTGAAAAGCAAATTATTTGAATTACTGATGGGCAGGTCCAACCTCTCTTTAAAATATTTAATCACTCCTTGCTCTTCCAAAAGGATAGGCACTTGGTAGATGGAAGAAACATCATGGATACAGATGACCTGATCAATGATAATAAAACATCTTTCTTAGTACAATACTGAAATAAGACAAAACTCAAGAGACAGTTTATACTGAAATAAGAAAACCAAGAAAAGCTACACGTTGGGGCTCAGGCTTAATTCCAGCTTCCCAGGAAGATGAGGCAAGAGGACCATAATAAATTCAAGGCCAGGCTCAGGTACACAGCAAGATACAATTTCAGAAAAGGAAGGGAAGGAGAGAGGGAACCATGATGTTTAGTTTTAACTGTCAACTTTCTACAACCTAAAATCTACCGCCCGGGGAGAGTCTCCAATAGAAATTGTTTAGACCAAATCGGCCTTTGAGTATGTCTACTGGGGATATTTTATTTTTTAAAAACAAGGTCTCACTATGTCAGACTATGGAAATGACTATGTAGACAAGGGCTAACCCCAAATTCACAGAGATCCACCTGCTTCTGCCTACTAAGTGCTGGGTTTAAAGACATGTGTCATCACATCTGCCTTGGAATTTCTTAATTTCATTAAATGACTCCATCTCAAAACTGTGTGACCCTACTCTCTGGGTTTGGGTATTGGACCATATAAAAAAGAAGTGAGCTGAGCTCTAGGCATATATGTATTACTTTACTTCTCTCCGTTCTTGTGTGTGGATGTGATGTGACTAGCTGCTTCAAATTCATTGTGCTTTAACTTCCCCAAAATGACTGACTGTAATATAACCTGGAACAATAAGTTTAAAAAATCCTTTATCCCAAGCTGTTTTTGACAGGGTTTCTCTTTGTTGTGTTGTGTTTTTTAGATGCAGGGTTTCACTGTGTAATAGCTCTGGCCGTTGTGGACTCACTTTATAGACTGGACTGGCCTCGAACTCACAGAGATACACTTGCCTCTGCCTCCCAAGTGCTAAGATTAAAGGCATGTGCCACCAAGCCCAGCTTTGGCAGGGTATTTTAATCACAGGAACTGAAAGGAAAGCAGGGCAGCAAGGTATGTTGCTCAGTTGGCAGAGTACTTGCACAACATACATGAGGACCTTGGGTTCGACTCCCAGGACCACATAAAATCAAGCATGATAGCACACACCAGTGATTCTAGCACTTAGGAAGTAAGAACAGGAGGATCAGAAGTTTAAGATCGTCCTTAGCTACAAAGCAAATTCAAAGTTAGCCTGAACTACATGAAAAAAAAAAAAAATCAGCCAGGCGGTGATGGAGCACTTCTTTAACCCAGCACTTGGCAGGCAGAGGCAGGTGGATCTCTGTGAGTTTGAGGCCAAGCTGGTTTACAGAATGAGTTCTAAGACAGCCATGGCTACACAGAGAAACCTTGTCTCAAAATATAAAACAAAGCAAAAGAACAATAAAAAAAGAACTAAGAGCTAATGATCTGACTCAGCTGGTGAACGCACTTCCCACCAAGCCTAACGACATGAGTTCCATCCCTGAGATCCACATGGTAGAAGGGAGAAGTGGCTCCCCAGGAATGTTTTCTGACTTCCCAACTCAGGAATATACATGTACAAACAATAAATAAATGTTGCAAGTTTTTTCTTAAAAAAGAAAGAAAGAATATGGGCTGGAGAGATGGCTCAGCACATAAAAGTATTTGTCATTGTTTCAAAGAACCAGGGTTGGTTCTCAGCACCCACAAGGTAGCTCATACCCATCAATGTGATTGTTCGAATAAAACAGGCCTTCATAGGCTCATATATTTGAATACTTAGTTACCAGGGAACGGAACTATTTGAAAGGATTAGAAGGATGAGGAGGTATGGCCTTGGAGTAGGTGTGGCCTTGTCGGAGGAATTGTGTAACTGGAGGCAGGCTTTGAGGTTTCAAAAGCCCCTGACAGGACTAATCAGTCTCTCACCCTGTCTTTGTCTTTGTCTGTCTGTCTGTCTGTCTGTCTGTCTGTCTCTCTCTCTCTCTCTTTTTCTGCCTATGGACAGGGTATAGCTCTCAGTTACTGCTCTGGTGCCTGCATGCCACCATGCTCCCAACCATGATGATAACATACTAAATCTCTAAAACTGAAAACGAGGCCCCAATTACATGCTTCATCTTATAAGAACTGCCTTGGTCATGGTGTCTCTTCATAGCAATAAAACAGTGAGTAAAAACAATCACTAACTCTAATTCCAAGGGATCTAACAACCTGTTCTGACATCTACAGGCACCAGGCCTGCATGTGGTACACATACATACATACATGCAAAACATTCACACACATAAAAAGAAAGCAATCGAGCTGAGCAGTGGTGGGACACACCTTTACTACCAACTTAAGAGGCAGAGGCAGGCAGATTTTTTAGTTCCAGGCCAGCCTGATCTATAGAATGAATTCCAGGACATTCAGGACTACACAGAGAAACCCTGTCTTGAAAGCCTTCCCCCACCCCAAAGAAAACAAAAGCAATGTAAGAAGGGAAAAAGAAAAAGAAAGCCCACTAAACTAAAAAGGAGTCAGAATTAGTACAAGATTACTTTAACCATAGAGTTCTGAGTTCATTACTATACCCTGAAAGAATGGATATAATGGTATAATAAAATATAGACATAAAATACTATATATGCACATATATACGAGAGAAAGAATAATATATCATATATATTTATCTGCCAGTTTCACATTGGCAGATTCAACCAAATGTGGATCAAAAACATTCAGGGAACAACAAATCTGTACTGAACATGTCCATACACTTCTCTAGACAATGCCATTTTGTTTGTATTATTTTCACATTGTACTAGGTGTACATCATCTAAAGACATAGTTCCCATGAGGATGACACAGGCTATTTCCAAGTACTTCACCTGTTTTGTTATGTTTCTTTACATTTCTGGAGAGAGAGAGAGAGAGAGAGAGCATGTACGGTGCACATGTGTGTGGCGGTCAGAGGACAACTTGCAGAGCTGGTTCTCTCCTTCTACCATTACCGTTCATGAGAACTGGAACTCAGGTTGTGAAGCTTGGCAGCAAGTACTCAGCCCTGCATCATTTTCTTTTCTGGACTATACCCGGTCTTAGTCCCCAGTTCCTGACACAAAGCTTCAAAAAACCCTCAAATTCCCTGATTGATACAAGAGTCTTTGTTATGCAACTGATATGTTTCCTGGTGGTCCTGGGAAAACTTTCTGTGGATCTCCCAATAACTGGAGCAGGAGCTCTCTCTGCCTCTGACGCCTACCTTGGGATTCCATTCTCCTAACTGGGTTGCCTCATCTGGCCTCAGTGGGAGAGGATGCACCTGGTTCTGCAGCAACTGAATGTGCCAAGGCAGGTTGGTACCCATGGGGGACCTCCTGTTCTCTGAGGGGAGGTGGAGGGGAGAATGGAGAGGAGGAGTGTGTGAGTAGAGACTGAGGAGAGAGGGGGTCTGCAATCAGGATGTAAAGTGAATAAATAAACAATAGAGAACTTCCAAATAGTCACAGAAAAAAAAGTCCCAAGCAAGTGATTAGAGGGCCACCAACTGACATCTGGGGAGGGAAAGGAGGCTGAGGACTAAGATCAAACACAGCCGATTAGTCCACAACCATGTCTCCATGCAAATATTCAAAAAATAAAAAAAAAACTCTGGAGAAGGGAGCTAGTTTCAGTGGCACACACCTGTAATCTCAGCACTCTGAAAAGTAGAGGCAGGTGAATCTCTGTGAGTTCAACGCCAGCCTGGTCTACAAAGTGAGTCCAGAACAACCAACGCTACAGAGAAGGGGCTGGAGAAATAGCTACTCTTCCAGAGGACCTGGGTTTAATTCCCAGTATCCACGTGGCAGCTCAGAACCATCATGTAACTCTAGCCTCAGGGTCTCTAAGGGATCAAGCACTCACATGGTGCACTGGTGTACATGCAAACAAAACAATCTAATACAGAAAATAACTAAACACCTCTGGAGAAGACGGGTGTGGTTAGCCACACCTTTAGTTGCAGCACGCAGGAGGCAGAAATAGGTCTAGGCTAGTTCAAGGCCAGCCAGGACTAATGAGCCCCTGCTTAGTTTATTTGGGGTTTGACTTTTGTTTTTTTTTTTTTTAAATATCTCTGGAGAGCAGGCTAGCACAAACCTCTAACCCCAGCATTTGGGAGGCAGAAGCAAGAGGATAAAGGCCAGCATCCATTATGTAGCTCATTCTAAGCTACTCAGACCCTGTTAGAAACAGCAGGAAGAAATGGGCAATGGGGTATCTCAGCAGGTAAAGGTATTTGCTGCCAAGCCTGATAATCTGAGATCAATCCCTAAAATCCACATGGTGGAAGGAGAGGTCCTCTGAACTCACACATGCTATGGCATACTATATAAACACACACGAAAAAAACACACATATACACATAAATAAATATATTATGAAAACAAACTGGAGAACAATGCTCAGGGGAACTTGCCACTTGCTGAATATAGTGAACTATGAGGAGGGAGACACCCTGATCCAACAAGAACAAAAGCTTCCTGGCTTGGAACCCTCCCAGACCATTTGCACCCTTTATAATAAAGCAGGACTTGCAAACAGAACACTGTATTGAGTCCTCTGGGTCACTTAACAACTATCAAATTTGAGAAGACTGTGCAAGTTCCAAAACTGTAGTCAGCTGGCTGTAACAGGGGTGGTGTCTCAAGGCCCCTGGAAACTTATGGTAGTTATTAAAGTGGAGGGCAACCTCAAAGGGATTGGGCCCTTAACTCCTTAAGTTGGAGACCTTTACTCCTTAAGTGGAGTTAGATATTCTGGGTGGTCAGTGCCAGAACTCAGTATAAAGCTAGGTGTGGTGACACAAGCATGTAATCCACACACTTAGAAGGCAGAGGCAAGACAATCAAGAGGATCAAGGAGTTCAAGGTTAGCCGTGGCTACATGAGACCCTGTATATGTATATATTAAAAAACAGTGCGTGTGTATGCACGTGTGTGTATACTTGATAAAGGAGCTTAGCACCATACCTTGTCACCTGAGTTGGATCTTCCACATGGGCACCATGGCACAAGTACACCCAATACACACTCTCACACACAAACATAATTTTTAAAAAAATTTAAAGCTGGGTATAGTCATGCATGCCTGAAATCCCAGCATTTGTGGGAGCTTAAGGCAGAAAGATCAGAAACTCAGGGTCACCCTCCTCTGTGTAACAAGGTAAAGATCAGTGTAGGCTACAGAAAATCCTGTCTCAAAAAAATGTTTTTAAAGGTAGTGAACTGACACAGCTTATGTGTACTGCCCAGTGTTGCCTCAGAAAAAAACATTCTTAGATGGACCTTGTCTTGTACAGGTTTGTGTGACAGATTGTTGTCCCTGCTACTGTAGTTGCTTTCACCTGATATCGACCACCTTGTTCCCTGTTCCCTTCTCTTGGGTAAATTTACAAGGCATATTGACCAGAGGAAAATTAATCACATCTGTTAAAGACTACCTTTAAGCCATGGGGTTTTTTTCACTTAACCTAATGGCTTTAACATAACTCTCAAAAACACGAGAGAGGTTATTTGTAGACATTTAAGGATCTGCCAAATCCTAAATAAACGCCAAAAACATTCTGCCAACTCTGGGTTCGCTTTTCCCAAACCCACAGCTATAAAATCAAGAGAGTTCTTCATTGGTTTAAACATTGCCAACTTGCTATTTAGACTATACTGCATCACTGTGCACATACCAGGGCAATTACAAGACCCAAGATGTACAATATGTGGCTCTATCCCAATTACTAATCAAAGCTAAATCTTGGAAGAGGGAGGAGTTCAGTGTGAAAGGACTTGTCTAGCAACACCAGCAACACTGAAAAAAAAAAAAAAAGCAGGCAGGGAGGTGGATTTCTATCAGCATTTGTAAGTCCAGCCTAGGAGACATGACACTCATTTTCAAAAGCAAACAAACAAAAACAACAACAACAAAAAAACAACTACTTAATCTCAGGTCAAGCATGTTGTCACTCATCTCTTATCTATGCACTCAGGAGGCTGAGGCAGCAGGATCACAAGACTGAGGCCAGCCTGGCCTAGATTACAATGCCCTTGTCTCAAAAATATGGGCTCAAAAGCTACTGTTCTTCTAAAGGACACAATTTTGGTTCCCTGGACCTGAATGAGAGCTCACAACTGTAACTCCAGTCTCAGGAGATTTTACAACCATCTTCTTGGTCTTCCTGGGCACTAGGCATACACATGGTGTATATACGTTCGTGCAAACATGCATTGCCACACATTTTTAAAAAATCACTTAATCTATCAACAACAGAAACTTCCACAAGTAGAAAGCATGGAGTTATTTACTCATCCATCATCATAAGGCTGTGACATACACCATGGGAGGTAGGAGGAGGATCGGGAGTTCAAAGTCACCCTCAGTTACATAGAGAGGTTGAGGCCAGCCTGAGCTACAGGAAACTTTGTCTCAAAGAAAAGAAAGAACAGAACAAGAGTGGATCACTGGGGCTGAAGAGATAGCTCATCAGTTAAGAACACATATAGCTCTTGCAGAGGACCCAAGTTCAATTTCTAGCACCTATATCAGATGGCTCACAAACACCTGTAACTCAGTTCCAGGTGATCTGACACCCACAACATCTTTGGGCATCCATACTCACTTGAACAAAGCCACACACATACATATAACAAAATAAAGATAAATTTAAAAATAAAAGAAGCTTCGATCACTGCTTACAGGCCTTAGGCTCCACAATGGCCACAGCTGGAATTCTACCTTCCTTCTCTGAGCTCTCAGCACTCCAACGTAAAACACTTTATTTGCCTTCTTCTATTCTGGAAATAAGGCTGTATTTGCTTAACCCACATGCCAAGCACTGTCTACCAAGAGGAAGAGTACACAAAACAATTGAGCCAGAACGAAGTGCCTGAGACATTAAGAGAACACACACAGAGAAAGACAAGTCCCTTCTTTTCAAAGCAGATCAGGCTTGGAAACCTCAAGCAGGGGGCGTGCTATCAGCCCACTCCCCAAGCACAGACGCCCCATTAAGCAGCCAAGAGACTTCAGAGAATCCAGAGCTCACATAAAGGGTGTCTAGCAAGCCTCACTCTGTTCCTGAGCTCCAGTCATACCAGTCTTTATAAACTATAGCCAACTGCAACCCCTCATTACTCCAAGCTTATTGGGAACAAGAGCTAGAAAGAAAAATGAAATCTAAATATCGGAATACCCAGGTTGGAAGTCCTGCAGAGTAGAGGGCCAGAGCCCAAATCATGGTAATTTCTGGATAAATGAGATAAGCTGGGCCACTTACATGATTAGAAAATATAGCTTGAGATGTCAGCATACTTGTGTGGTTTAACGTGTGTTAAGTTGTAACAGGTACAAATCCCAGCAAAACACAGGATGAGAAAAATGCTAGAGGTAGCACAGAGTTCTCTCACTAGAAGTTTCACTGAGCTAAAAAGCCCACCCTGGGCTTCAGGCAGTGGCCCATGATTGTGTTCTCAGCATATGGGATGTAAGAGAATCAGGAATTCTGACCCTGTACCTCAGTGAGTAAAGGCACTTGCCACATATCCTTACAACCTGACTTGATCGCTGGAACCAATGTAAAGGTAAGACAGAATGGACTTCATCCACAAAGTTGTCCTCTGATCTCTACACATGGGTTATGACAAAAGCGCTCTCTCTCTCTCTCTCTCTCACACACACACACACACACACAGAGATAGAGAGAGACAGACAGACAGACAGATGAGTGAATGGATGAGTAAACAAATTTTAATCTAAAGAGCACCAAGCACCAACCTGTTCAGGATCCACATGACAAAACATAGAAATCTTCTCTTTCACAGCCATCTCAATGGGTTTTGAACTACGGCAAACAATCTGTGAAAGACAGTTATCAGCGGTCAGCAAATGGGAACAGGCCTGATGAAGTTGCCCTATTCATTGTCAGAAAGACATTATATTCCTGTTTTTTATACAGGAGACTAGACAAAGGATGCACATGTCCCACTCTGGGCATTCCTCTGTACCATAAGAAATTGGTCTGATCACTAGCAAAACCATACCTCACTAGGTTCAACAGAATAACTCAAAACATCGAAATGTCTCTGGTGGACTGTTAACAGGCTGTTTCACTAAATAAAAGAAGAGGTGGATCAGGAGTTGACAAGCTTTCACTAAAGGGCCGCATAGGAAATATTTTAGCTTTCCAGGTAAGGCACTCAGGGTCCTGTGCCAAAACAGATACAGCTACAGTAAATAAATGAGTAAAAGTGTGTTCATAAATTCTTTTTTTTTTTTTTTTTTTTTTTTTTTTGGTTTTTCAAGACAGCGTTCTTTGTGTAGCCCTGGCTGTCCTGGAACTAGCTCTGTCAACCAGGCTGTACTCACACACACAGAGATTCACCTGCCTCTGCTTCCCATATACCAGGTTTAAAGGCATGAGGCAACACCCTCTGGCTATAAATTCTTACTTATAAAAATAGGCAGTTGCTTTTCGAACCCCTATTCACCACCTCATGACAAGCTGATGGCTATACCTAGATTACCTATTATAAGAACACATCACTGCTTCTAAGACTAGAACTCACAGCAAAGAAAGCCAGTCCTTGAAGGGTCACAGGAAAATCCCCAGGAGTCACATTTACTCTGAAGGAGGCAGGGACCTTATAAGTGACAGGGCATTATATCTGGCCTTCTATCAATGGAGCCAGTTTGAGGATAAAGAAATAATCTTTTCATGGCTGCCAGACAGAAAAAGTTTATTGTCATAGGAACCATTTGAGAGGGACAAATGACTCAGTTGTGTGATTAAAGGTTAAGGTCCTAGAAATATAGTTCAAAGGCAAAACACATGCTTAGTATGTGTGAGGCCCTAGGTTCCATCCCCAGAACAAAACCCAAAAATGTAAACAAGCTATTGTTAGTGCTACTACAGCTTGTGACATGGAGGTCCTACTCCAAAAGAACTTAGAGACAAACTCACCCACAGTGCTTAACTCACCAGATCTGGAGACAAGCCCAACCCCCTCAGGGCACGGACACTGTTCTGTGTAGGTTTGGATTTTTGTTCTCCAGTAGCACTGGGCTAAAAAGAAATGAGTTCCCATCAGTATCACTGGCTATCTAATTTAAGGGTCTTGAATCTCAAATGTATGTCACATAAAATATCAGCGAAAAGCTGATCAAAGTTACTATCCACATACTTATCTGGAAAAACTCACCTCTGGTACAAGGCTGACATGAATATTATAGAAATTCTCTTTTTTTGCTTTAAACTGAAATTGACGAAATGCTTCCACAAATGCCATTCCTTCGATATCTCCAATGGTGCCTCCCAGCTAAGGGTAGAGAACCAAAATAAAACACAAAGGACCAAACTTTTCCCATAGTACACAAATCAATGAAATTTTCTTGTTTCTTAAGTAATTTTTTTTTTCTAGTAAAACAGTCACTACAATTACAGTGACTATGTAGTCTTGGCTGACCTGAAACTCCCTGTATAAACCAGGATGGTTCTGAAGTCACAGACATCTTACTACCTCTGTCTCCCAAGTGCTGGAATTAAAGGTGTGTACCACAACAATCAACTAAATTAAGTAATTAATTACTTTTGAGAGTTTCACACTGTAGCTCAGGGTGATCTGGAATTCAGACTGGCCTTGAACATCTCACATCAGCCACTACACATGGATTAGAAATAATTTTGTTTTGTTTTGTTTTGATTTTTGACACACAGTTTCTTTGTGTAGCCTTGGCTGTCCTGAAACTCCTTGCTCTTTAGACCAGGCTAGCCTTGAACTCAGAGATTTACCACCTTTGCCTCCTCAGTGCTGAGATTTAAAGGTATGCATCACCATCTCCAGCTTTAGAAAGAATTTTAATAGAATGAGGATAAGAACTGAAATTTAATACTTTCACAAAAAACGGAAGTCTATAAATGCTTAAAATCATTAAATTACACACTTTTAAGGTGAATGAAATTTCATGATATTTAGTTAAACAATAAAACTATTAATAAAAAAAAAGCATGGTCTGGTAAGACATATCTCTAATCCTAGCACTGGGGAGACAAAGACAGGAGGATCACAAATTAAAGACTAACCTGGAATATCATATGTCAAAAAACAATTCAGGTATGGTGACAAAAAGAAGATAGGGCAGAAGAACTGTCTTGAGTTTAAGGCCTACCTGGGCTAAATTTTGAGTTCCAGGCCAGCTTTGGTTACAGTGATATTCAGTCTTAAAACGAGAAGGTAGGGGGGAAGAGGGGGAAGGGGGGAGAAAGAGGAGAGGAGAGAGATTGACTCTGAGACTGAAGAAACGGCTTAGCAATTAAAAGCACTGGCTGCTCTTCCTGCAGACCCAGTTTCAATTCCCAGCACATAAATAAAGCTGTACACAGCAGTGTGTGCCTGTAACCCCAGCATTCAGACAGAAAGGTGGAAGGCAGAGACAGACAGATACCTGGAGCTTGCTGGCCAACCAAATAAATGATCTACAGGTTCTGTGAGACCTTGTCCCTAACAGTAAGGTGGTGGACAACTGGGGAAGATAACCAGTGTAGACTCCTGGCTTCCATAGATTCGCAAATACATGTGCACACACATGTATGGGTATGCACACTCACCTACACCGCAAATGAACACAGAAATGTAAAAAGCAGACCAGGAATGGTGGCTGGCACCTTTAATCTCAGCGCTCAGGATAGAGGCTGGTGAGGCAGGTGGAGCTTCCTAAGTTCAATGAGTTCAAGGTCAGCCTGCCAGTTCCAGGCCAGCCAAGGCTATATAGCATGTCCCAGTCTGAAAAACGGCAAAGTCTGCCCTTAAACAAAACCATGTGGCAACAACTTAGAGGAATTCGTCCTTTGTGTTTTTGTGGTACTGGAAACAAAATCCAGGGTCTCACATATACTAAGCAAATGTCCTACTCCTGAGCATATACCCTTAGCCCTCCCCTGTTTGTTTGTTGTTTCTCCTCTCTTCTTAGTTTGTTTTCTTTGGGGGGAGGGAGAGCTTGTGACAGGGTCTGACTTTGTAGCTCAGACTGGACTGAAGCTCAATATGTAGCCCTAGCTAGCTTCAATCTCCTTCCCCAGCCTCTGGGGCGCTGGATCATAGCACTCCAGCTTCCTCTTCTCCTTGATAATCCTGTAGCTGTCATTGGAGAGTGAAGAAAGAAGACTGACTTTAAATCTTATCTATTACTGCCCTCCTGTGGTCAACTGTGGTATAACATCCTCTTGGGAAGTTTCCGTTACTCTGCCTCTAGGTCAGTCACCCTTAGCACTATATTCAGAACCCTTGAGTTAGTCTCTTCTTACCGTAAGTTGGCGTTTATTAAATAATGTACTTATAATTGTTCCATTTTGTTGCATTCCAAACTTTTATTATCTACCAACTTATAAGTTAAACTACTATACAATCTGAAATGGTGACATGCTACTATAATTCTGGGAAGCTGGTGCACAAAGACTACTGTGAGTTATAGGCAAGCCTAGGCTACATAATGAATCCCAGGTTAACCTGGACCATAGTGTGAAAACCTTGTCTCAAAATCAAACCCAAACCAAAAAAAACTGATCATATATGTTTAAGAAACATACATTAGTGTTTGGTACTACATGGTTTTAGACCAAAAAAAAAAAAAAAAAAAGAGAGAGAGAGAGAGAGAGAAAAGTGGAAAGTTAACTACAAGAAGACTCCATGATACAGCTTTCATGAAGTCATCTTCCATGAATAGGTGAAAATTTATAAGGAAGAAAAATATCTCTTTGATGTTATCTAGTTTTTGTTTGTTGGGATATTTTTGTTTTTTGAGACAGAGTTTCTCTGTGTAGCCTTGGCTGTCCTGGATTTGTTTTGCAGAGCAGGCTGGCCTAGAACTCAGACATCTGCCTTCCTCTGCCTCCCAGACTGCTGGGATTATAGATGTGTGCCACCATGCCCAGCTCCAGCTCTTTGTTTTGTTGAAACGGGGTTTCTCTGTGTAGTGTTGGCTGTCCTGGACTCAGGTTGTGGACCAGGCTGGCCTTGAACTCAGAGGTCTGCCTGCCTCTGCCTCCCAGAGTACTGGGATTGCAGGCATGTGCCACCACACCCAGCTCTCCAACTATTTTTTTAATTTATTTATTTTATGTATATGAGTGGTCTATTTGCACACATTTTTGTTTGTAAAAGGAAGCACTTTCTTGGTATAAACTAGGGACAGAAACTGCCCATTCCGTGCTCCAAACCCAACACTGACTTCTTTATTTATCTGTCTGCATACAGATCACTGCATACTCACCTCAGGAGAACATGTGATCATGTGTTTAATAACTGACTTGTGACTACCTCTCTTGTTAGCTGCTGGAACCCCACCTCCAAGCCTAGTTTACAGCACCCAGGAGGGGAGAGTGAATGATGACTGGATGCTTCAAGACCCAGCGGGAAAGTAGCTTATAAAGAAAAGGTCCATACTTGCCTCAATAACACATATCTGGGGAGCTTTCTCATTCCCATCCACAGGCACCTTGGCTTGCTTCATAACCCACTCCTGGATAGCATCAGTAATATGAGGAACAACTGCAGAAAGAAGGAACAAACAACACAGCACGTTACTTCATGTTCATTTGGACCTCCCAAATAATGTGAAAGCCACCAAGCAAATTAGACCAGCTAGGGTTCTTATGCCATTGTCTCCATCACTGGAACCAGGCTGGACTGAGTAATTTAAGGCTAGTCGTTCCCATGATAGGCCTTTGCTCTTGAAGCAGACCAGATGCAGAGAACAAGAAACAGAAAGCAGAAATGCTAACTTTGATCAGCAGTAAAAAAACATCTAATTGGAGAGATGGCTCAGCAGTTATTACTTCCTGCTTCCCCAGAGACCCTGAGTTCAGTTCCGAGCATCCATATCTGTAAGCTCATAACTGCCTATAACTCTAGCTCCACGGACGCCAATACTCTCTTCTGGCTTCGAAGGGCACTCACACACATATGGCATACATATTGTACATACACACATTAATGAAAATAATTCTTAAAAATAAAAAAAAAAACCAAACCTAAGTCAGGCATGATGGTGCATGTCTCTAATCTCAACATTCAGGGAGGCAGAGACAGGAAGATCTCTGTGAATTTGAAGCCAAGGCTACACAGAGAAACCCTGTCCTGAAGGGGGGGTGCAAAAAAAACTAGTAACTACCTATCATGCCATCTGAGAACTGGGCTAGGGGGGCTTCTGGGTAAACCAGATACTAGAATCCATGGTGGAGGATACACAGCAGCTGTACAGGGGTAGGTGCTAAGGACTCTGGTGTAACAGCAGCCAGTGGAGAGGTCCACTCCAAGGGTATAAATGAAGCCCACCTACTCACCAGGGATCCAGCATGGAGAGTTCAAAATCCAGCTGGATATTGTTTTAGCTTTCTATGGTTTCTGTAATAAATTACCGTAAAATATTTGTGGGTTTTGTTTTTTTGGTTTTTTTTTTTAAACAGGATCTCCCTGTGTAGTCATGAGTGGCCTGAAACATGCTATGTAGATCAGGATGCACTTGAACTTGTAGCAATGATTCTGTATCATTCTGCACAACCATACACATGAAATAAGTAAATTTAAAAAAGAATGAGAACAGATAAATTTATATTTTCGGCTGAGTATGGTTGTTTTGCCTACGTGTATGTATGTGCATCAAGTGCTTGTGTGGTGCCCTCAGAAGATAGAAGAAGACATTGGATCCCCTGGAACTGGAGATATACACAGTTATTAGCCACCATATGGGTGCTGAGAACCAAACTATGGTACTCTGCAACAGCAAGTGCTCTTAACACCTGAGCAATCTCTCCAGTCCCTAATGGTTTTCTTTTTGAAGGACTCATATAGCTCAGGCTGGCCTAAAACCTACTCTGGAGCTAAAGATGATTTTGAACACCGACCCTTCCTGTCTCCACCTCTCAAATGCTAGGATTACAACTGTATCTGCAGTTCATGAACTTAATAGTTTGAAACAATAATAATTATGGTGAGGTGGTTCAGTGGATAAGGGTGATAGCCAACAAGTCTGAAGACCAGAGTTCAAATCCCTGACCCCATGTGATGGAAGAAGAGAACCAACTCCTGAAGTTGTCCTCTGACTTCCATATGTGCACTATGGGCATACAAGCATCCAAAAAAATGCACACACATATACATACAAAATAAAATAAAAATAAATGTAATAAAATAATAGCAACAAGGCCAGGTATAGGAGACTGACACAAAATGACTGCCATGAGTTTAAGGTCAGTGTGAGCGCCAAAGTAAATTTCAGGCCAGTCCAGACCACTGTATGAGACATTGTCTTATTTAAAGAAAAAACAAAACAAAACAAAACAAAACAAGACAAGACAAAAAACTGGTGGTGGTAGTGGTAGCTGCCGTGATGTCATCACAGCACATCTTTAATCCCACAGCTCAAAGGCAGAGGCAGTCAGATCTCTGAGTTCAAGGGTAGCCTGGTTTACAGAGTGAGTTCCAGGACTGTCAGGGATACACAGAGAAAGAAACCTTGTCTCAAAAAAGCAAGAAACAAAGCTGGGTATGGTGGTACATGCCTGTAATCCCAGCGTTTACAGAGGCAAAGGCAGGAGGAACTTTGTGAGTTCGAGGCCAGCTTGGTCTACAAAGTGAGTCCAGGACAGCCAAGGATACACAGAGAAACCCTTTCTGGGGCGGGGGGACTAAACAATAAGTAAATAAAGACCAGGCATGGTGGCTCACTCCTTTATTCCTAGCACTCAAGAAAACAGACTGTACTGATTTGAAGTAAATGATCCTTATAGTCTTAGGCATTTGAATACATGGTCCCTAGCTGATGGCATCTAAGAAGTAGGGCCTTTAGAGGAAGCATGTCACTGGAAGTTGGCTTGAGGGTTTAAAAGCCTCACACCATGCTTCTTGCTTGTTGTTCAAGATGTGAGCTCTCAGCTTGCTACTCGAGCTGTCATGCCTATCTGCTGCTGCATTACCTCACCCCACGAAATGGTATTGTACACTGGACTGTAAGAACAAATAAACCCTTCTATGCGGTGCCTTCGTCAGTGTTTTATCACAGCCATAGAAAAGGGGCAGGTGGATCTCTGTAGATTCAAAGACAGCCTGGTCTACATAGCAACTTCCAGGCAAGCCAGAGCCACACAGTGAAACTGTCTCAAAACCAACAAAAAAATAAATAAATAAAAGCAGGACCTGGGGATATAGCTCAGCTAATAGAGTCCTTGCCTAGCCTGCATAAAGCACTTGGTTTGATCCATAACACTGCATAAACTGTTGTGGTAGTACATGCCTATAATTCCAGCACTTAAGCGATGAAGGCTGGAGGATCATTACATGCAAGGTCATCCCTGGCTGGATAGTAAGTTAGACACTTTCCTGGGCTACATAAGACCATTTCCAAAAAAAAAAAAAAAAAGAAAGAAAGAAAATTAAAATTAGAAGCTATTATCTAATAACAAAAACTGGTGAAAATATATTCAGGAACGTTGGAGGGAAGGCAATCTTTACATTTCTGAGTGAAAAAAAAAAAAAGTAGAGATTTCCGGGCCCACAACCTTCCCATTTCTGTTAAATACAGTTTCTCCTGAGTTATGTTTAGCACCCAGGGTCCACAATGTTGTATAGTAAAAATACCTTGAACAGTTTCCCCCAGGTAATCACCACACCTCTCCTTATTGATCACTTGCTGATATATCTTCCCAGTGGTGATGTTGTTGTCTTTATAAAGATTAATGTCCAAGAATCTTTCATAGTTTCCAAGGTCCAAATCAACTTCTCCACCATCATTTAAAACAAATACTTCACCTACAATCAAAAGGCAGTGTAGAAATTAAAACTTATTCCCAACAGATTATTTTCCAGCCAGGCAAAGTAACACACACCTGTAATCCTAGCACTTGTGAAGCTGAAGCAGAAAGACTCTTAAGGTCAAGGCCTGCCTGAGCAACAGAGAGTTCAAGGCCAGCATGGGCAATTTTGAGAGACCATATCTTAAAATAAAAGGAGAAAAACAAGGCTTGGGATGTAGCTCAGTAGCAAAATGCTTCCCTGGTTTTCATGAGATCCTAGGTTCAATCCCTAGTACTATAAAAGAAATTTAAAAAAAGAACAAAATAAACAAACAACAACAACAAAAGAAAGTTCCGAACAAAGCAGGACTAGTCAAAGTGACTGAAGTCCAAAGTAAAGAGGCATGGAAACCACTCTGGAGAGATGGCTCAGTGGTTTGTTTTTTTTTTAAGAGCTCAATTCCTGGCAACCACATGGAGGCTCACATCCATTTATAATGTCATCTGATGCCCTCTTTTGGAGCACACGTGTACATACTGATAGAACACTCATATATAAAATAAACAAATAAATCTTTTTTTTTTAAGATGCATGGAGGTCAGATAGGATACATGGGATTATTTCAATATTTTTGTATCTGTTGAGACTTGTTTTGTGACCAACTATATGGTCTAGTTTGGGACCAGACTGGTATATGTAGTTTCAGGCCAGCCAGGGCTATACAGTGAGAACATTCTTCAAAATGGGCTACAGAAATGCCTCAGCAGATAATAGTACATGCTATTCTTCCAAAGGATCTGCACTCCATTTCCAGCACCCCCTGTCTATAACTATAGTTCCAGGGGATCTGACTCCCTTTTCTGGCTTCCTTGGGTACCAAGGACACATGTGGTACACATACATACATGTAGGCAAATGCTGACACATAGAATAAAAATAAATAAATCTTAAGGCCAGTAGTGGTAGCACGTTACTTTTAATATCAAATGCCTATGAGTTCAAGGCCAGCCTAATCTACATAATGACTTCTAGACCAAACAGGTCTATATAGTGTGGTATATGTATGTGTGTATGTATGTATGTGTGTATATTTATTTATATCTATATATTATACATAGATATGTTTATATATTATATATAAAGAAATAAGTAAATCTTTTTTAATGCATTATGTGAGATGGGGCTATAGCTCAGTGGTAGGAACTTGCTTAGCAACCTTGAGGATCTAGGTTAGATCCCTACACTGGAAAAAAAAAAATACGTGTGTGTGTGAGAGAGAGAAAGAGGGAAACACCCTTATTTTTAAAATTGCAAATAGACACCTACCAATTTCTTTTTAGAAATTAACTTTTAGGCCTAGATTATCTTTAAAAATTAAAGCAGAAAAGCCGGGCACGGTGGCATATGCCTTTAATCCCAGCACTTGGGAGACAGAGGCTTTCTGTAAGATCAAGGATTTCTGTAAGATCAAGTCTAGCCTGGTGTACAGTGTGAGCTCCAGGACAGCCAAGGCCACAGGGCTACACACAGAGAAGCCCTGTCTCAAACAAACAAAACAAAACAAACAAACAAACAAAAAAAAAAAAACAGTATAACTGTAAGATTCAACTAACTTCAAAATTAAAATGAAAGTTCAAAAGCTCCTTGGGTGTGGTAGTACTATCCTGTGATTTCAGGTACTGGGAATACTGGGGTGAAAGGTTTGCTTGAAGCCAGTAATTGGAAGCAAACAACTCATCTACCAAAAGAGGGGGGGGGGAATTAAAATTAATGCATGGTTTTCATGCTATAAAACAGGACAGAAGATACCCTAAGAGTTAAGGATAAAGAACAAGGGACACAAAAGAAAATTCACTGTTTTCCTTTGTAATATTTTATTTACGATTATTGTGTGTGAGAGCATGATAAAGGAGGGGGGTGGTGTGTCAAGGCTCACATGTGGAAGTCACAGGAAAATTTTTTGGGGCTGATTGTCTTCTTCTACCTCTTGGTGAGGTCTGAGGATCACTAAGGTCATTAGGCTTGTCCCTGGCAGCAAGCAACTTTACCCACTGAGTCAACTAGCCAGCCCCATAAAGGGGATTTTTGTCCTGTGATCTATCAGGGCTAGTCACACAGTAGGTTCATTTTGATAAAATTCATCATCAAAGCCATACTCTTAAGATATATGTACTTTTCTGTTTGCATGAATAAAGGTTTGAGGCCTGTAAGATGGCTCAGCAAGAAGAGGTGCTTGCTGCTAAACCTGACAACATGAATTCAACCTGAGACTCACATGATAGAAAGAGAACTAACTGGGGGGCTAGAAAGATGGATCAGAGGCTGCTCTTCCAAAGGTCCTGAGTTCAATTCCCAGCAACCACATGGTGGCTCACAACCATCTGCAATGAGATCTGGTGCCTACTACAAGCATACACGCAGGCAGAACACTGTATACATAATAAATAAATCTTTAAACAGCCCCTACACTATTAATGATACTCTGCTATTCTTGCAGACAGGAGCCTAACATGACTGTCATCTGAGCCTAACATGACTGTCACCAGTCAGCAGCAGATGGAGACAGACGCTGGGACTTGCAGCCAAGCATCGGTCTGAGCTCTGGGGGTCCTGTGGGAATGTTGGGGGAAAGATGGAAGGACGTGGAGGGGACAGGAAACTCACAAGAAGACCAACAGAGACAACTAACCCAGTCCCATGGGGGCTTTCAGAGACTGAGACATCAACTAACAACCATGCATGGTCTGGACCTAGGCCTCCTGCACATATGTGGCCGATGGGTAGCTTGGTCTTCATGTGAGTTTCCTGGCAAGTCGGGTGGGGTGGTTCTAACATGGACCCTTTGCCTGCTTTTGGATCACTTCTGCTTGGCAGGTCTGCCTGGCTTGGCCTCAGGGGATGAGGATATGCTTGGTCCTGATGTGACTTGATGTGCTTGGGGAAGACTGATACAGGAGGAGGGGAGATAACCTTTTCTGGGGGGAAAGGGAGAAGGGAAGGGGCAAGGAGGTCAAGAGGATGAAATGTGAGGAGAGGAGGGAGAGGACACCCTTGGGATGTAAACTAAATAAACTGAAATAAAATTTTTAAAAAGAAAAAAAAAGAAATCATAAAAAAAAAAAAGACAGAGAACTAACTGCCATAAGTTGTTCTCTGGCTACTATACACCATGGTGCTTGTAAATAAAATGCAAGTAAATAAAAAAATAAAGCTAATGCCTTTTATTTTGGTGCATGTGTTGTAAGCATGTATTCCTGAGGATATGTGGAAGTATGAAAGCAAGTGTGCACGTATGTGCATGACCTGAATTTGTCTCCCAGTGAAACTGAAAATCATCCATTCTGTTAGGCTAGTTAGCCAATGAGCTCCAGAGATCCATTTGTCATGAGTACTGGAGTTTCAGATGCTCAACACCGCAGCTGGGGATACAAACACACTTTTGTATGGTTATATGGCATTATACAGAATGAGAGACATCCAGCCCCTTGTTTTTATTTTTATTTGTTTGTTTGTTTATTTATTTATTTATTGCTTTGTTTTGTTTTGTTTTGGTTTGGTTTTGTCCTTGTTCTTTTGATATAGGGTCTCAGGTATCCCAGGCTTGCCTTGAAGTTGTAGTTGTTATGAGACATGGTCGCCTGTAGCCCAAACTGGCCTCTAACTGACTATGTAGCTGACTAAAGCTGGCCTTGATTCCCTCCCTGAAGCCCCATTCCTCCAGTCTCATCTCTGAAATTCTGGGATTATAGGCATATGTTACCAAGCCTAGTATTAATGACTTTTTAAAATAACTAATATATGCCTGGCTGTGGTGACTCAAGCCTATAATCCCAGAATTCAGGAGGATGAGATATGAGGACTAAGGATAATGTGAATCTGAGGCCAGCCTGAGTTATGGAGTGAGTTCTAGGTTAGCCTGGGCTACAATACAATCAAAGAAAACTGTCAGGGAGATGGCAGAGTGTGTAAAGCACTTGTCACATAATCCTGGGGATATAGTTCAGATCACCAGCATCCATGTAAATGGTAGTTGGACACAGCATCATGCTTGTGATCCTAGCACTCCAGCACTCAGTACTCAGGAAACAGACTGGAGGTCCCTAGTTACTCCAGCAGTGGGAAATGTTAAGAGGAATATAGTACTTTTATGATAAAATAAAACAAGACACAGTCCATAGAAAATGGTACATTTCCAAAGACTTGACATGGACTGTCATCAGTGATCTAAAAAATTGATCAATGGCCACAAGAACATTTGCACATTTCTCAGGTCCGATCCAGCAAGTCTACTTCTGGAAGTCTAGCCTAGAGAAATTACCCAAAACACAAAACAATGGATCAAAGAGCAAGAAATGGCTCCACAGTTAAGCATATTTATTGCTCTTGCAGAGGACCAGAGTTCAGGTCCCCAAAGTACCCATGTAAGAAAGCTCACATCCACCTCTAAGTCCATTCAGCTCCAAAGGACTTTTCTCCTCCAGCCTCTGTAGGCACCTGCAAACACACATGTAGAATATACAGACACACGTGGATATAAATAAAAGAAACCACTGGAAGTTATGTGAATTTAGTTTAGCAAATTAAAGTTTAGCACTTAAAAGGAAAAGATTTCTTTTCATACCATGCTCATAAGGTGAGAAAGTTCCAGCATCGATGTTAATATAGGGATCAATTTTGATGGCAGTAACTCGGAGTCCACATGACTTGAGAATGGTCCCAATGCTGCTGGCGATAACCCCTTTACCAATACCTGAGATGACCCCACCAGTGACCAGGATATACTTCATTGGCAAGGGCACAGGTGGCTGCCAATACCTAGACAAAATCTGAAAGACAACCAAATTAAGAACCAGAGTTAGAAAAAAAAATGGGCAAGATATCCAATGCCTATAATCCCAGTATTCAGGAGACGAAGGCAGGAAGAGCTTTCTGAGTTCAAACCCAGCCTGGGCTACATAATGAGTTCCAATCCAGACTGTACTACAGATTAAGTAAGACCCTATCTCAAAACAACAACATAAAGTTAGCTATTATGGCAGCATACTCCCTTAGTTCCAGCACTCAGGAGGCAAAGACAGGTAGATCTCCGTAAATTCACTGACATCTACAAATTGAGACACCACCTCAACCAAGAAAAGAAAAGAAACACACACACCCAGCACACACACAGTCAAAAGGCCAAGGCAGTACTGCCAGGAGTTTGAGGCTAACATGAACTGCATAGAGAGTACCAAGTCAGGGCTACATAGCAAGACTCTGTCTCAAACAAAACCAAAAAGTACATAAGTAAATGAGAGTCCAAGGCAGGCATAGTAGATGACACCTAACCTATAATTCCAGCACTTAAGAGACTGAAGTGGGAGGACCACTAAGAGGCCCTCTAGGCCAACTTTAGCTACAGTGTGTAATTTTTTAAAATCCTAAGAAAAAGAAATCAAAGAGTCACAGAATAGGCACACACCATTGATCCCAACATTCATGGAGGCAGAGGCAGGTGGATCTCTGTGAATTTGAGGCCAGCCTTGTCTACAGAGAGTCCAGGACAGACAAGACTACACAGAGAATCCCTGTCTCAAAAAACCAGGTCACAGAGTAGAAACATTCTCTTAAGTCAGCAGGAAACATTATCAAACTGTAATTCCAGAAGTCCATGGAATTTTTTGCTGTCTAAATACTCAAAACTTTAGAACAAGTTTTTTAGGTTTTGATTTTTCTTTGAGAAAGGGCTTCATTATCTATCCTAAACTATCCTGGAACTCAAGGATCCTCCTATATCAGTCTCCTGAGTGCTGGAATTACAGATGCACACCACCACACCCAGTTTGGTGTTCAGGTGGGGTGGGTGTACCTGCTTGTCAAGAAAGTTACTACACACTTCGTTTAGCAGATTATATATTTTCATTATTTCTTTTCAGTACTAAGGTCTGAATGCAAGGCCTCACCCATGCTAGGCAAGCATTCTGCCACTGAGCTACAGTCCCAGCTGCATTTAGCTTTTTTTTTTTTTTTTTTTTTACATGAGTTCTGGAGATTGAAATCAGGTCCCCAAGGCTTACAAGCACCTTTAACTAACTTGAGCCATCTCACTAGGCCCACATCTGGTTGTTTTTGTTTTTTTTGTTTTCTGTTTTTTTTGTTTTTTTGTTTGTTTGTTTTTTTTTTTATGTCAGGACTTATGCAGTGCTGGGGACTGAACTCAGGGCTTCCTAGGCAAGTACCCTACCTACTGAGTTCCATGCCCATCGTAATCCTTTCTACCCTTTCTAAGCAAATAAATTTGTGAAAAAAAGTTAGGTTTTTTTCAAGACAGGGTTTCTCTGTATAGCCTGTGAAGAAAGTTTTAAAACTATAGGAAGAACATCCACATTTGCCCACACATACATACATTGCACGCACACACACACACCCCACACACACATGCACAAATAAATGTAATAAAAATTTAAAACAAAGTAAAACGAACAAAAATATGTCGTTGACAACAAATATATCTGTTCCTTTTGGGGAAGCCTAGGCTGGCCTTGACCTCAAAATGTAACCATGGATGATGACCATCCCTGGTTTGATAGTGCTGGGATCAAACCCAGGATTTCTTGCATACTACAGAAAAGTACCTTACTGCTTCAGCTACATCCCCATGCCTTAACAATGCTGTTGCTGCTGCTGCTGCTATTACTACTACTGTTAGATTTTTGAGATGAGAGAATCTCACTCTGTAGTCCAGGCTAGCCTCCAGACTCCTGAGTGGGAGAGCTAGGAGTCACCTCGCAGAGATCTTACAGTATTTTTTATCCCAATGAGTCCAAAATTGTAATCATTTGCTGATTGCGCTGGTGCAGGCCTGTAATCCAAGTACTTGGGTTGTGGAGGTTGGAAGATAAGTGTGAGGCCAACTTGCGCTACATAAGGCTCTATCTTAAAGAAAAAAGAAAAGAGAAATGGTGTAATTGATGCAACAATTTACTTGTGAGCTATAAGTCAACAGCATTGTACTAAGCCTTGGGAAAGAACAGATTAAAGCACCTCTCGTTCCAACTTGTCACACATAACCAGTGGTTTTATTCTACTGTGCAGACAGGCCTACAGCAACAGAAACACCAAGAAACAACTTTCTAATGATGCTCATTAAAAAAGTAATGTAAATCAGACACAAAACTGGATAAGCCCATTATATGACATTTTTGACTAGCAAAACTAAGCCAAAACGATGATCATCATCAAAAGAGTGCAAAGGGGCTGGGTAGGGAAATGGACTCACTAAAAAAAGGGCACCAAGGACCCTTGTGGGTTGATGGAAATGGAAAATTTCTTGAGCATAAAGTATGTATCAATTGTTTTCAAAAACGTCATCTGCCTCCTCCAGGCGGTAGAGCTTAGCGTGCTGAGGCCAGCTAAAAGGATTGTTGTTTAACCTGTAAGCTAGTTCAAAGCGCGAACTCAAAAACCAAATCCCCGCCAGCCTAGTCCACTCCACCTCCTGGTTTCACTTCCGCCAACGCCATCTCAGGGTTCCACAAAGCAGGGACAAGTAGGGTTTGGGGTGCGGAATCCTGCGCGGAGGCACACCCCAGGGAAGCGCCGATTTGAACCCCAGGTCACTGGCTATCCTCGCCGGCTACCGCCAGAGGACAGGCTCCGAAGGCACTGGGCATCCTCCCCACCTCCCCAGTCCTCAAGGCCTGTTCCATCGCCCAGGTTTTCGAACACTACGTGGGAGACGCGAATGGCTGTGGGCCGGGCGCGGGCACCATCGGGAAGGGGACAAAAGTGCCCAGACCCCAAGTGTGCTCCGGGCAGGGCAGAAATGGCCCCAGGACACATGGAAGTCTGGGCACCGAGGCCCGAGGGGTTTGGGGGGAGGCCCAGGAGGGGAGTTACCTGTGCACTGGCGACAGGGTGCCCTGGAGGGTGGTTCATGCAGCTCCACCCAGCGGCCAGCCTGGCTTGGCGCTCACCTGTCCTGAGGGGGCAGGAACCGCATCTAGGGTTCTCTAGTCACCTCTCTGTCATGCCTGCCCCGGGGATTAAGGAGCCCTCCTCATCCACCTTCCCCTCACTGTCCTGCTGCAGCTGACTCACGCTGGTTGTGAAATTGGGAGTGTTGCCGCGGTACGTTCCAGTGATAGTACAAAACAAGCGCCTAAAAAGTGTTTCCTAAGGCACAGGCAACTCCCATCACCCTCTGCACTGTACGCCCTTGGCCCCAGGCCACAGCTTGGGCCTGCCCCTCCCTCTCTCCTTCCTTCCCTCCCTCCTTCCTGTAGTTACCTAGCTTCAGCCAGCCTCTGAATGCTCCTGATCAGCTCAGAACCCTGGCAAGCAGAGTCCTTTGCTCTCATTCTCCCACCAACTTCACGAACCACAAATGTTTGCCTGTCTCCTACACTGCAGCCCAGGGGCCTTTGACAGCAAAAAGTGGGTAAGGAGAAAAATAAAGCACAATTCCAGCCTAGAAGCAGACCACCCATCTACATGTCCACTGGTAAATGAACTTCCTTAGCACAAAGTTAGGAAGAGAGATGTTAATAAAATGTACCTAATAATAAAAAAATAAAAAGTTAGGAAGAGAGGAGCACAGGAAAGTAAGAGAGAAGGCTTCCAAAGAGACTTTGAGGGAGTGTGTAAAGGGTAAGTGTGGCAAAGGACACCTGAGGTTGTTCAGGCAAAAGGAAGGAGACAGAAACAACTGAAAAACAAGGGATCTAACTACACATGAGTTTGAAGTTTTAGAGAAGCCGTGAAATTTGTTTCTTTGGTTGTGTTTGTTGTTCCTTTTGGATTTTGATGGTTGGGGTGTTTTGGGGGGTGGTTGTTTGGTTGGTTGGTATGGTTTGGTTTTGGGTTTTGAGACAGGCTGAGGCGGAGGCTGGAGATATAGCTCATTTGATAGAGTGTTTGCCCAGCAAACACAAGACCACAGATTATCTTAAACTACAGCATCAACCTACCACGGTGGTACATATCTATAATTGCAGCAATGGAAGGTAGAAACAAGAGGATCAGAAGTTCAAGATCCTCCTTGGATACTAATCCCCATTCTCTCCGTCATGACCCAAATTACCTACCGCAGATTCCATCAACTACCCAATTGGTTATCTAATACCAAGTGTCAGCCCTAAAATGATATGCATACAGGTAGCATTATATGGCTAGGACAGGCTGTTTTTATATATTAATAAATACATATATATAAATATATATGAACATATTTAGAAATATATTTGTGTGTGTGTTTGTGAAAAGAAAACAAGGCCATGAATTTGCTACATAGTGAGATTTTGTCTAAAAATGAATAAAAATAAATAAGGTCAAGACAAGTTGGCTCATTAGATAAAAGCACTAGCAGCACAAACCTGGCAATCTAAGTTCGACACTCAAAACCCATTAAAAAGGTGGAAGGAGGGGGCTGAAGAGATGGCTCAGTGATAAAGAGCACTGTCTGCCCTTCCAAAGGACCCGGGTTCAATTCCTAGCACCCACATGGCAGCTCACAACTGTCTGTAATGCTAATTCCAAGGGACCTGACACCTTCACACTAATGCACATAAAAAATTTTTAAAAAAAGCAGCCTTACCAGGCCACAGAGGAAGACAATGCAGCCAGTCCTGATGAGACCTGATAGGTCAGGGTCAGAGGGAAGGGGAGGAGGACCTCCCCTATCAGTGGACATGTAGAGGGGCAAGGGAGAAGATGAGGGACAGTGGGTGGAATTGGGAGGGAATAAAGGAGGGAGGCTACAGCTGGGATACAAAGTGAATAAACTGTAATTAATAAAAATAAATAAATATTTTTTAAAAGATGGAAGGAGAGAACCAACTCCACAAAAGTTGTCCTCTGACCTCCATACACAGGCCAAGGTGCTCATAGCAAAACCTGACAACCTGAATTCAATCTCCAAAACCCACATGGTAGAAGGAAAGAACACACTTCCAAAAGTTGTCCTCATGGGCTGGAGAGAAGGCTCAGAGGTTAAGAGAACAATTCGCTCTTCCAGTGGTCCTGAGTTCAATTTCCAGCAACCACATGTGGCTTTAAAACATTTATAATGAGATGTGGTGCCCTCTTCTGACATGCAGGCAGAACACTGTATATATAATAAATAAATCTTAAAAAAAAAAAAAGGAAAAGGTATCCTCTGATCTATATTTACACACACCCCTTGGTAAACTCTTTCCCACAAAGACGCACACACACCATACTAAATGTAAAAAAAAAAAAAAAAATTAAAAAGGCATCCCTTGAAGGAATCAAGTCTAGAACAGCATGGCCTTTGTGTTATGTTAGATGTGGGGAGTGTCAAGGCAGAAAGATAGTGAAATTAGAAGTGTTCATTGATACCAAGGAACATCACAGAATGTAAGAGAGTGTTCCTAATGCTGACAAGAAGTTAGACGCTGACAGCTTAGTAAAGGACAAAGAATTATGAAAGAATGTGCAGTTTCTTCTTAAGGAGGATGAAAAGGCAGCCTTACCAAAAACAACAAGGAGATGGAATTAAGGAGTCAGTTTCCAGGAAAAGAAACAGAGGTATCACTCCACCTAGCATCCTTCTAAGAGCTGCAGATATCCATGGGAAAAAATAAAGCAACATTACTGACAATAAAACAAATAAATGTTTTTTTTTTCAATTGGATCACAGCTGAGCACAGTGGCACACACATTTATTCACAGCACTTGGGAGGCAGAGGCAGTTGGATCTCTGAGTTCAAGGCCAGCCTGGTCTTCAAAGTGAGTTCCAGGACAGCCAAGGCTACACAGAGAAGCCCTGTCTCGGAAAAAAATAAATAAGTAAATGGATCACATCTCAGTACTTCATTTCCTGTTCACAACTAGGAAAAAAAGAGATCAGGATTCCACGATTTGGTTTGGGTTAAGATAAGGTGCTGTGTATGGAGAATGGCCTTCAACTCCTCATCCTCCTGCCTCAGCTTCCCCAGTGCTAGGATTACACTCACATACCACCTCTGGTAGTAGCTGGCTGATTCTCCCTTTAGAATGAAGAACCTAAGATTCAACAACAGGAAATGTTAATCAAGGGTGCATTGATTAACAGGAGCTGTCCAGCATGGTGGCATATGCCTTTAATCCCAGCACTGGGAGTCAGAGGCAAGCTGCTCTCTGTGAGTTCAAAGCCAGCCTACTCTAGGCAGAGAGGTCCAAGACTACCAGGGTTACAAAGAAAACTGCCCCACCCTCCAAAAAAAATAAAAAAAGAATTAGCACTGAGTGACAAAAACAGGACATCAACTTCTAACATCTTTTATCATAGTAGAAAATAGTGTCTCATCTAACTATTCTATTATTCTGTGAGGCCAAAACACAATATGAATATGAGGGGGCTATGGTAACTAATTACCATAATTAATTATTAATCTCTAATTTTATTGATTAATCTCTAATTTTATTAATTAATCTCTAATTTTAATTTATTAATCTCTAATTTTATTAATTAATCTCTAATTTTAATTTATTGATCTCTAATTTTAAAATGGAAAAAAAATTTGAAGAAACAAAGGTAGAAGAATCCTAAGTTAAAGATCAGTCTGGGCCACACAGTAAGTTCAAGGCAAGTCTAAGCTGTATAATGTAGGGAGGTCCTGTCCAAAAAGCTAAGGATTTGGTATGTGGCTTAGTGGAACAGGGCTTGCCTAGCTACGCCCAAGGCTTTTGGTTTTATTGTCAGCACCTTAAAAAAAGCAAATTCATAACTACCCATCATTATGTTGACTGCAATAATTTTATAATTATATATAATCAAATATAGTCTTTAAAACCAAATTTCACACGTTGATTTTTTTGTTTGTTTTAAAACAGTTTCTCTGTGTAGCCTTAGCTGTCTTGGACTCACTTTGTAGATCAGACTGGTCTCAAACTCATAGAGATCCACCTGCCTCTGCCTCCCAGAGTGCTGGGATTACAGGTGTTCATATCCACACCCTGATCACACATTGATTATTTAATTACATTTATTTATTTTGTGTAGGCCCACACGAATGTACTATGGCACACAAGTCAAAATGAGAGGACAACTTTCAGGAATCAGTCTCTCCCTTCACCTTGTGTGACCTGAGTGCAAGTCATCAGGCTTGGTGTCAGTCACCTTTACCTGATGAGCCTTCTCACCACTCCTCCAAACCCCTTGTGGTTTTTTGTATTTTGTTTTGTTTTGTTTTGTTTTTTTTGGGGGGGGGATGGTTAATTTGTTTTATTTTGTTTAATCTAGCTTTGTATCCCAGGCTGGAATCAAACCTACTATCCTTCTGTCTCTGACTTCTGAGTGCTAGGATTACAGACATGCACCACTACATCTGCCATATTCTTTTACTTTTAAAATTTTTTAGCACAGCTAGAAAGATGGTTAAGCAATTGAGAGCACTTTCTACCCTCCCCAAGGACTTGAGTTCAGTTCTCAGCACCACATTAGGGGCTCAAATCTGCCTGTAACTCCAGCTCCAGGGAGCACCTTTGGGTAGAGCCATGCACATGGACACACAAGCACACACTGATAAAACACACACAAACAAATAAAAATTAGTTTTTTAAAATCACTTTTCAAAGTTTAGTCCCCCAAAGACTCAAAACACACACAAACAAATAAAAAAATAAGTGTTTTAAAATCACTTTTCAAAGTTTAGTCCCCCAAAGACACAAAATGTCAGAGTTATTCACCTACTAAGGGATGGAATTAAAATCCCTATCTTCTTGGGCTCCTGAATCAAATTCCACACTCTTTCCAGTTGTGCTTAAAACAAATACTATTTCCTGAAAATTGTTAATAATTCCCGGTTCTCCCTGCCTTAAAGTCAAGAAACTAGCTGGGTGTGGTAGCTCAGACCTTTAATTCCAGCACTTGGGGCGGGGGGGGGGGGGGGGCAAAGAGACAAGGAGATTTCTATATTTGAAGCCAGCCTGGTCTACAGAGCAAGTTACAGGACAGTAAGAGCTACAGAGTCTTTGGAGGAGGGGAAAAGCCAAGGATATGATATCACCTAGCTTTTGAAGCTGAATCAATACTACAGTTTTAAAAACAGGTTATTTGCCGGGCAGAGGTGGCACTGGCCTTTAATCCCACTGAGGAGAAGGGGATTTGGGGGTGTGTGCAGAGGCAGAAAGATCTCTGTTCCAGGCGGGCCTGGTCTACACAGTGAGCCCCAGGACAGTCAGTGCTGCTACACTGAGAAACTCACACTAGAATTTTAAAAAATAAAAAATTAATTTAAAAATTAATTTAAAAAATAATTTAAAAATTAATTTAAAAATAATTTAAAAATTAATTAAAAATCAATTAAAAATTTAAAAAAACTAACTAACCTAATTAAATAAAAACAGGTTATTGCGCCAAAACTGAAATACCTCCCTTGTTACATTCGTGGCAAAACTGACAACCCAGAGTTATATTCCCAGAACTCCTGTGGTAAAATGAGAGAACTGACTCTCGAACGTTCACGTCTAACCTTAGAAAGTGTGTCCTCACGCCCATAAATAAGCGTAATTTTTTAAAATGTTAGAATGCCATCAATGCCACAAATTCGACCCTTAAAACGACAAATTTTGTTACATTTTTAAATAGTACATAAAATACTTATACCATGGTCTTTTCCTCTTTGGCCGTCCGATGGAGAGACGCTCCAGCGGAGTCTCTCACCGCTCTCACCAAAAGCCTGCCGCCGTTCTCTTTCCCTCACAAAATGACGGAGCAGGTCGTTGCCCGAAACCGGAAATAACTTCGGACCACGTGCTGGAAGTGAGAAGGACCCGTCCTTCCTAACACGGATTATTCTAGAAGGTCTACCCACTGAAAAAGATCATGCTGGCTATTTGTATATAAAATACAAATCATTTAAGAAGTTTTATTTCTTATTAGTGTACATGTGCTAACTTAGGGAGAGGAGCACATGTACCTGGAGGTCTGAAGACAACTTTGTGAAATCGATTCTTTCCTGCATTTCAGCGGGTTCCGGAGATTGAACTCAGATAACGAAGCAACCAGGCATGCACAGCAAGTGTCTTTTCGCTTTGATTCAGCTTACCACCATATTTATTTATTTATTTATTTATTTATTTATTTATTTATTTATTTATTTATTTATTTATTTATTTATATTGTATTATGTTGTATGTATGTATGTGTATATATATTAATATATACACATATATATGTAAACATACATGTATTTATTTGTTTGTTTGTTTGTTTGTTTGTTTGTTTATTTTAAGAGACTCTAGTCAGCCCAAGCATGGGAAACAAGACTCTGGCAGGCATGCACAGCAAGTGCCTTTACTCACTGAGCGAACATGTCTGTGTGTGTGTATCATCACATATATATGGAAGGGACTCCAGCCAGACAGACCATAGCAAACATGGTTCTAACAGGTTTTGCCCGTCTCCCCCATTCTCTCTGCCTTGCTAAAAACCTTTTCGATTGTATTCCTAAAGGTTGCCACCAAGGTATATTCCCGTATTTGGTCACTTCCTCCTCCTGAGGCTGACTACCAAGGTCCAGCTATCAAAGTATTGAAGTCCAGCAATCAAAATCTCTCCTTGGTTAACCTAGTTACCATGCTCAATGAAAATTAACACCTCATCGTAACAGTGGCTTTCCCCTTGTACCTTTGTAAATCGTCATTTGCCTAAGGGCCAGATCTCTCTCCTCTCTATCCAGAGGAAGTCGTTTTGTCCCCAGAAAAAATACCATTCTGCCTCTCCCTTGTTCACTTCCCCTTCTCCCACTTCCCCTATCTCCTGTCTTTGTCTACTATTGCCTGTTCTCTGTCCCTTTGTAGCAAATGAAATCTCCTTTTTGCTGAGAACTTGGTTTTGGGAGTCCTAAACTGATACCAATCCATCCATATATCTAATATTGTATTAAAATTGGGGGCCCTAGAAAATGGGTTTGGTGGTTGAAACTGCTTGCTAAACCGGGTATGATGGTGCAGGTTTATTCCCAGCACTCAAGGAGATAATGACAGGTGGATCTCTATGAGATCTCTATCGTTGGAGGTGAGCCTGGTCGAAAGAGTGAGTGCAGGAGAGCCAAGGCTACACAGGGAAACCCTGTCTTAAATAAATAAATAAATAAATAAATAAATAAATAAATAAATAAATAAGTAGATAGATAGATACACAGATAAATAATGTACTAAGAAATTTATAATATACTATAATATATTATAGTATATTATAAATTATTACTTTATTATCTGAGCAAGTGAAGTGGCTCAGAGAGTAACGATGTTTGCCACCAACCCCCAACCCCTGACACACACATATATACAAGGAAGTTTTTATTTAAAAGCCAGAGGGCTGGCGTGGTGGCTCAGCAGTGAAGGGAGCTCTCTGCTCTTTGCCAACACTCGCACATCAGGTGCCTCACAACCACCTATAATTCCAGATCCAGGAGATCCCATGTGCTTTGACTTCTGAGAGTATCTGTGTGCATGTGGTTCACATAAACTCATGTAGGCACACATATGCACATAAAAATAAGCAAATCTTTTTAAAGTTTTAAAGCCATGTATACATAAATATTGTTTAATTCTTTGTTGTGTATATTAAACAGGTGACTTTTAAGGTATTTGAATTATATTTCAATAAACCTAATAGGAGTTGTGAATAGTTTGGGCTTGTGAATTTGAAGTCCAGGATCTGAATAAAATGTAAATAGAGGTTGGTAATGAGAACTGGAGGAAAGGGAATTCAGAATTATAATCAGTTCCTCTATTTATTTCCAAAGATCACTGAGAGAGTCAAAGTGGTACAGAAAGGAGGATTCATGATCATCATCCAGCCCAGATGGGTAGAACCTGGACTTGGGAACTATGTTCATCAACTCCTTGCCAATTTTGCTTCTTTGACAAACTGTTATAGGAAAAAAATGAGAACAAAAAAGTAAATATAAGCCAGGCATAGTGGAGCACACCTTGAATTCCAACACTATGGAAGCAGAGACAGGCTTATCTCTATGGGTTTAAGGTCAGCCTGCTCTACATAATGAGTTCCAGGACAACAAGAGGTATATAGTGAGACCCTGTGTCAGAAAAAATACAAACAAAAAAGTGTACTTAAACGTAAAATCAGTCACATAGGGCACAGCGCTGCATGGCTGTGAACCCAGCACTCAGAGAGGCATAGGCAGGGAGATTCTCTGTGAGTTTGATTCCAGCCTGGTCTACTAAGCCAGTCCAGAACTGCCAAGGCCACAAAGAGAAAACCTGTCAATCAATCAATCAATCAATCAATCAATAAATAAATAAATAAATGGGTCATCATCAACAATTACCAACCCAAAGAGATTTGTTTGTTTATTTACTATTCCCAATAATTTCCCCACTTCTGGAACTAGTCTTTTATTTTATTTCTATGTTTATGTGTGTGTTGCCTGCCTTTCTTGTACCACATACCTGCCTGGTACCTGTGGAAGCCAGAAGGGTTTAAGATACCCTGAGACTGAAAGTTGAGATACTCATGAGCTATCCGGGGGATGCTGGGAATTTAACCTGGGTGAGCACCCAATGGTTTTGTGTTTGTGTGTTTCTTTTTTTTTAAAGATTTTATTTATTTATTTTATGTGTGAGTGCTCTGTCTGCATGTATGCCAGTATAGATGGTTGTGAGCCACCATGTGGTTGCTGGTAATTGAACTCAGGACCTCTAGAAGGGCAGACAGTGCTCTTACCAGCTAAGCCATCTCTCCAGCCCGTTTCTTTGTTTCTTATATTGGTTTTTCGAGATAAGGTTTCTCAGTGTAATGGCCATGGCTATTCTGGATCTCCACTTGTAGATCAGGCTGGCCTTGAACTCACACAGATCTACCTGCCTCCTTAGTGCTGGGAACAAAGGCAGGTGCCAACTCACCTGGTGATCTTAACTACTAAGCCATCTCGTACTAACCCCTCTGGTACTAATTTGAAGCAATTTCTGACCGTGTTTCTCTTTTGTCCTCCAACATTGTAATCTCACTCTTTAAAATAAAAGAACATGAAAACTATACTTACAGCCACATAATTATGTTATTACCACAATTATATTATATTATATTATATTATATTATATTATATTATATTATATTATATTATATTATATTATATTATATTATATTATATTTTACTTTGAAACAGCGTTTCTATGAGTAGCCTTCACTAGACTCACTTTGTAGACCAGGCTGGCCTGGAACTCACAGAGATCCGCCTGCCTCTACCTCCCTGAATGCTGGGATTAAAGGCCTGCACTACTGTGGTAGGCTAAAAATTATTGTTTTTAAAGAATGCTGTGTGAATCCACAGATGAATGGATAAACAAATTGTGATAATACATATCCCCACAACGGAATATTATAAAAAGAAGAGCAATTACAATATGCTATAACATGGATGACCTTTGAGGATATTATACTTAAAAAAGAATCCAATCTTGGTCTGGAGTGATTTCTTAGCAGTTAAGAGCACTGCCTGCTCTTCCAGAGGATTAGGGTTCAATTCCTAGCATGCACATGGCAGCTCACAACTGTCTGTAACTCGTTACAAAGGATCTAACACTGTCATAGAGACATACATGCAGTTTTGTTGTTGTTGTTGTAGTTGTTGTTTTTGACAAAACAGCAATGCACATGAAATAAACATTAAGAAAAAAAGGAGCCAATCTTGAGTTTGCTGGTGGTGGCACTTACCTTTAATTCCAGCACTCAGGAGGCAGAGGCAGGTAGATCTCTGTGAGTTCCATTGAGGCCAGCATGGTCCACTGTTGGTATAATGTTCTTTTGAATATACAGTGTAATGCCAGGTTCATGGGACCCTCAGAGACCACCAGGAGACAACTAGACGCAATTGCAAGAGAGCTTTATTACAAGAGCGATCGAACTCGGGACCCAAGTCTCACTGGCGCAACAGTAGAGAAGTGGTACCCCGAGCTCTGAATGAACAGGATTATTAA